GAACATAGGGGTGCATATATCTTTTTGAATTAGTATTTTTATATTCATTGGATAAATACCAGAAGTAGGATAGCTGGATCATATGGTAGTTCTATTCTTAAATTTTTGAGGAATATCCATACTGTCTTCCATAGTGGTTATACTGGTTTACATTCCCACCAACAGTGTATGAGAGTTCCCTTTTCTGTAGATCCTTGCCAACATTTGTTACTTCTTTTTTTTAAATTTATTTATTTTAATTGGAGGATAGTTACTTTACAATTTGTGATGACTTTTGCCATACATCAGGGCTTCTTTGTGGCTCAGCTGGTAAAGAACCTGCCTGCAATGTGGGAGACCTGTGTTCAGTCCCTGGGTTGGGAAGATCCCCTGGAGAAGGGAAAGGCTACCTACTCCAGTATTCTGGCCTGGAGAGTTCCATGGACTATATAGTCCATGGGGTCACAAAGAGTCGGACACAACTGAGTGACTTTCACTTTTGCCATTCGTCAACATGAATCGGCCATAGGTATACATGTGTCCCCCTCATCCTGAACCCATCCATCCTGAACGCCACCTCCCTCCATACCCCATCCCTCCATGTTGTCACAGAGCACTGGCCTGTTATTTTTTGTCTTTCTGATAATAGCCAGTCTAACTGGCATGAGGGAGTATCTCATTGTGGTTTTGAATTTCATTTCTCTAACTACTTTGGCCACCTGATGTGAAGAGTTGACTCATTGCAAAAGACCCTGATGCTGGGAGGAGTTGGGGGCATGAGGAGAAGGGGACGACAGAGGATGAGATGGCTGGATGGCATCACCGACTCGATGGGCATGAGTTTGAGTAAACTCCGGGAGTTTGTCATGGACAGGGAGGCCTGGCGTGCTGCGATTCATGGGGTCACAAAGAGTCGGACACGACTGAGCGACTGAACTGAACTCACTGAACAGTTAGTGATGGTGAACATCTTTTCATGTGCTTATTGGCCATTTGTGTGTCTTCCTTGGAAAAAGTGCCTGTTTAGCTCCTCTGTCCATTTTCAAATCAGGTTTGTTTCTGCTGTTGTTGTTATTGTTAGTTGTATGTGTTCTTTATATGTTTTGTAGGTTAACCCCTTATAGGATATGTCATTTGCAAATGTCTTCTCCCATTTGATACGTCGTCTCTTTGTTTTATTGGTGGTTTCCTTTGCTGTGCAAAAAGCCTTTTAGTTTGATGTAATCTCATTTGTTTATTTTTGCTTTTTTCCCCCTTGCCTGAGGAAATATATCTAGAAAGATATTGTATTCCTGAGACCAATGTCAAATATTCTGTTAAAGATGTTTTTGGTTGTCTGTGTTTTTATCACTGGGTTGAAGAATTTTTTATGTATATTCTGGATATAAGTTTTTTGCATCTATACAAAGTAAAATATTTTCTCTTGGTCTGTGGTTTGCCTGTTCATTTTCTTCAGTGTCTTTTGATAATTACAAGTTTTAAGTGTTTTTTACATATATATTCTTTTTTATGTTCTTTTCCATTATGGTTTATCAATGGCTATTGAATATAGTTCCCTGTGTTATACAGTAGGCTATTAATGAAATCTGATCAGTTTTTTTATTTTGTGATCAGTGCTTTTTTTGGATCCTCTCCAAGAAACAATTGCCCATTTCAAGCAGATTTAGATTTTCATTCTGAATGTTGTAGGCCTCCCATTAGAGGCTTAGATCTCACTGATTACCCTTACTGCTATAACATGGACTATAGGGCAGCAAAAATGGAAACAGGCCAGTTAAGAAGCTATTATAGTGACCTGGGAGAGAAGTGATGGTACACAGGACTGGGCTGTAGTGGTGGAACCTTGAAAACTCTGGGGTTAAGAATGTTGAGCTTGCTTGTTGAATGTATGGTGTTAGAGACAAGCAGACATGGAGGGGGAGGCGGTTAGGATGATTTATTTTTGGCTTGTGCCACTGAGGAGTGGTGGTGATGTACAAAACTACAGTTGACTGAGGTTATTTCAAACTCTGCTTTTGCAAAGTAGTATGTTGTCCATGCGAAGTAATTGGAAGAGTATCCCAGAATCCAGGAGACTTTTAAAGAATTCAGATATATGGCTACTTTCTTTTTACTGAGAGAGAATTTTGGAGGAAATTTTGCTGTTTGTTTTATACACAGGTGTAGTTGATACTGTGTACATTTGGAAGGAGATGCAGTAGAATATAATCTAGCAATACAGTATTTGATTGTTTCAATTTAAAAACTGCTATTCTTTTGCTTTTCTGTCTTCATTTCTTACCAGTTTGAAGCTTTTCTTGTGCATTTATAAAAACAAGTTCATTTTAGTAAACTTTTATAGAGATAGTTTTTGATCAGAGTACCTTGCTGCTGCTGAGTCGCTTCAGTCATGTCCGACTCTGTGTGACCCCATAAACAGCAGCCTACCAGGCTCCTCCGTCCATGGGATTTTCCAGGCAAGAGTACTGGAGTGAGTTGCCGTTGCCTTCTCCTCAGAGTGCCTTAGAGGTACCATAATGCTGGTTTATATTTGAGTTAGAGAAGTGCATTCTTATTCCTTGAAGTGCCTTTTAGCTTTCCTGTAGGCTAAGGAATATTCTATTCTTGGGGATCAAGTTAGAGCAAATCTCAGATTTTTGCCAGCAAAAGTCATTGTTTCAGTAGGGATTTATTTCATCAGTATTGTATATATACCAAACCTTGAATTTCTGTTCAAATTTAGGAGCTATCTTATAATAGTAGAAAGAATTTTGGCAATAGGAATAGCAAAGGAACTGAGTCCTAGTCCAGCAGTGTGACCTTGGATAAATCATTTACTTTATATACATCATTTTCTTCATCTGTAAAATGAGGAGTAATTGATTATAAAGTTCTTTTAAAAACAAATTATAAATTCTTACTGGTTTTATAGTGATTTTGGTTTTATAAAACATGTTTGAACCATATTAGAAACATTGGAAATTTAATCTTTGAATAACTTATGAGAAAAGAGTGAATTGTGGGCATCTTGCCTGACTCATAGAATATTATTACATCTGAATCATTGTTCCCCATATCAGACTTAAGCCTATGACTGATAAGGCTGCCTCTCTTTTAATAATAACTTTTTGAGATATAATTCATGCACTATAGAATTCAATTCAGTGGTTTTTAAGCCACCATCAGAATCAATTTTAAAACGTTTTCATCACCCCAAAAAGAAAGTACCCGTGAGCTGTCACTTTCCATTTCTGTGTGACCTTCCAGCCCTAGGCAGCCACTAGTTTACTTTCTGTCTGTATGGATTTACCTATTCTGAATATTTCATGTAGACATATGGCCTTTTGTGTTTGGTTTCTTTCACTTAACCTGTTTTCAAGGCTTGTCCATATTGTAGCATATATTAACACTTCATTTCTTTTTATTGTCACATAATATTACATTGTCTACCCCATATTATCTGTTCATCAGTTGATGGACATTTGAGTTGTTTCTACTTTTTGACTACTAAGAACCTTTGTGTATTCATTTCTCTTGGGTATATACCTAAGAGTGGAATTTCTGGGTTATACAGTTAATTCTGTATTTAATCTTTTGAGGAACTGCCAGGCTGTTTCCCAGAACATTTGGAAACATTTTTACATTCCTATCAGCAATGTGTGAGGGTTCCAGATTCTTTACATCCTCCCTAAACTTATTATTGTCTTTTTGGTTATAGTTGTCCTAGTGGGTATGAAGTGGTATCACATTGTGGTTTTGACTTGCATTTCCCTGATGATTAAAGATGTTGAACATCTTTCCAAGTGCTTATTAAGGCTACCTCTTTGGGCAGTTTTTCTTTTGGAGTGAGGATGTGGGTGGGAATCTGCTTAGCTCTTTTCCTAAAGTGTCAACTAAGCATTCTGAAGTATCAGTTAAATAAGCAGGCTCTTCTTACTACTGGTAGGGAGTAAATCAAAACCTTAATTTAATCCACACACCTGTTTTTCCCTTCCTTATTTCTATAAAGTGTAACAACAAAGAATTTCAGTGGAAATATGACTTATATCTTGTTGGAATTGTTACCTATGTTTGAGTGGGAGAACAGAACTTTCACTGATACATCTGTTTTTTTGTTTTGTTTATTTTTTTAAATTATTTTTGACTGTGTTGGGTCTTTGGCTTTTCTCTAGTCATGGGGAGCGGGGGCTACTCTCTCCTTGCAGTGCAAGGGCTTCTTAGTGCGGTGGCTCATCTCGTTGCAGATCCTGTGCTCTAGGTGCACAGGCTTCAGTAGTAGCGGACGTGGTCTCAGGAGTTGCAGTTTTGGGCTCTAGAGCACAGGCTCATTAGTTGTGCTGCGTGGGCGTGCATGGGCTTAAATTAGTTGCATGTGGGATTTTCCCAGATTGGGGATCTAACCCGTGTCTCCTGCATTGGCAGGCGGGTTCTTTATCACTGACATATCTTTAGCACTGAAATCTTGGCAACTGGTTCTGTATTTCAAATGTTCAGGAGTAAGACTGCAACGTATAAAGCAGTATCATTATCACACAAAGAAGGATGAAGTGTGTCTGGGAATCTGGTAGAAAACCTTTTCATATTTATAGTAGCCCTATTTTCCTTATATCATGAAAGTTTTGTGAATTAATATAGGATGTGTAATTGTTTTTTTATATTTTTTCCTACCTCCCTTCGAAGACAATGGGCTGCTTTTCTGGGCGCCTGATGTCCTCTGCTAGCGATCAGAAGTTGTTTTGTGAAATTTGCCCAGCATTCAAATGTTCTTTCGATGAATTTGTAGGGGAGAAAGTGGTCTCCCCGTCCTATTCCTCTGCCATCTTGGCTCCTCCCCCTGTAATTGTTTTTAAGGAGCATATTTAGCTTAGGTTACATAGTCTAAAATAGGTTAATTTGAAATGACACTCTTGTTAATAGAACTTATTTTATTAAATTCAGAATATTTAATTTTATTTGAGATTTTGCTCTTGAAAATGTTAATTGCCGCAGCCTGGATTTGGTCCAGTCAGATTTGTGAAGTAATTTTTTTTTTTCCATTCCAGAAATACATGCTACAGGATTTAACTATCAAAATGAAGATGAAAAAGTCACCTTGTCTTTTCCTAGTACTCTCCAACCAGGTAGGAGACATGGCTTTTATAAAATCCAGTAGTGAATAGTGACATCTTACTTCTTTCCCCCAAATTTATTGCATGTCTTTTTTTTTTTAAAGCTCTTTGTTTTAGGGAGATTAAGTATTAAGATCTTAGGCAAACTCCGGGAGCTGGTGAGGGACAGGGAGGCCTGGCATGCTACAGTCCATGGGATCTCAAAGAGTCAGACACTACTTGACAACTGAACAACAATAACAAAGTATTAAGATAGAGCTTAAAACATTCCAGGTTCATTTCAACTTTTAGCCCACCAGAAAAAAGTAAAAAAGGACAGTCATTCTATTCTAGAACATAATGTGTTATTTTCAGTTTCAGTTTTTTAAAATTACATCTACTTAGTTCTTCTACTGATTGAATCCAAATATCTGAGGCAAATGTTCCGCAGATGATTTTGAGGTACAATCAGAGATTAGAGAGATGCTATGCTAAGTGAGGGCATGGAAGGAAAGATTCATTGATACATTACTGTATGTGCTATTTAAAAGCACAAATAAACTAGACGTTCTGAACTTAATATAATGGAAGAAATTATATACAAATTAGTTGGTAAAGTACTGAAAGTTTGATAAATGAGCATGTGAAAAGCCACAGATAATATGAAAGAAAATGCAGTGAATGATAACAGTTAAGATATTTGCCCTCCTCGTAATGAGAAATCCAGTTTTTGTCTGTCATGTAATCAGAAGTAAAAAAATGAATCTTGATATGACTGCCTTAATATTACTAGTAGGAATATAAATCCATGTAATTTATTTGGAAAGCAGCCTGGCAATATGTGTTAAGAGCCTAAAGATATTCATGTCTTTTGACCTGGCAGTTCTGGTATTAGGAATATAGTCTCCTAAAGAAAAGTCATAAATACAAGAAATACCTTATGCCTAGAAGTGTCTCTTCAGACATTGCTAAGATAGTAAAAAATTAGAATTAATACATTTGTCCAACACTAAGGGAATAATTAAGCTAATTATGACATATATGTATGGTGAATACACCCAGCAATTAAAAGTGAGGTTTGTGAATTCTTAACACTGAAAAGTACTTATTATAATGTAAAATTGAAAAGCAGAATACAGAATTACACATACAAGGTGATGAATCATATCTCTAAAATGGTATGAATAATGTTATATGTCTGGTTGTTGACATAATTGATGATTTTTATTCTTATTCATACCTTTCTCTGTTTTCCATAATTTTTATATTGAGAATATATTCCCTCAATATGAAAGTATTTATAGAAAAATTTTAAATTGGAAAAGGTTTATCTTGGTACTCTTAAAGACCTTTCATTTTGTCTTTTTCTCACTAGGATTATTTTTGTGTGAAATTATTGTAAAAACAAATGTCTGCCATGAACCTGTATTAAAAGATACTGAAGATAATAACCTGAAAATTGAGAATTCCTCTCTCTGACCCCTCTACTTTTATTACTTTTATTATCTAGTGAATCCTTCCAGAAATATTCTATGTAGACATAAGTGTATGTGTACATTTTAACCCACAAATGGGATCACAAATATCAGTGGCTTGCAACAGGTATTTCTTGTTTACACATGGCCCTGAGGACTGCTGATCATCTGCAGACATATTGCCAACTTCCCTGAACTCCACTAAGCTCAAATGTCTATTGATGCCAGGCTCTGTAGTGAGTAGCTGCTATGTGCAGCATGCTGTTCTCTCATATGGCAGAGGGCAGAAGCTTGAGGCTGGAGACAGCACCAAATCACAAACATTTAAAGCTTCTGTGTGGATGGTGATGTTCATTCACATTTCATTGAGCAAAGCAAATAGTATGGCCAAGCCCAAAGTCACTGGGGCAACAATTACCAGAAATTTGATAAACTTCTAAATGAAACATAAAGCAAAAAAGAAAGTAATAAGTATAATAGAAATATAGAAAAAAAAAAAAAAGAAATATAGAAAACTGAAAGAAGCAAAGAAAAGTGAAAAGAAAGTGCCCCCAAACCCAAACAGATTAATATCCTAAGGAGTATTACTAATATTATGTTCATTAAATAAGAACAGGATGGAATAGAGTAAGAACACTTTTGGAAATTGTAATATATTAGGAGTAAAAAAAAACAAAACAGGTTTTGAAAGGTGAAATAGAGTCATGTTCCAAATAGGAAGATTGGAGGACTGATCTAGCAGGACCAGACATCCAGCTAGTGAAAGAGAGGACATAGAAAATGGGAAGGGGAAATTACGAAAAACACACAACATGAAAATTTATTTGAACTGATGAGACAGAAGGCTTAAGTTTGAAAAAATACACTATCAAAAGGAAACTCGATAAATGTAAGAAGTCCCACACCAAAGCAAATTTAAGAATTTTCAGGGGGTAAAGTGAGGCTCTCAAAGAGTTTCTACCTGAGGCGAGGGAGTTGGGAGGAAGTTACCTTCAAGGTTCAGAAATCAAAAGAGCAGTAGATTTACAGTGGAAACCAGACTCTAATAAAGCCATTCCTTGAAAATTATAAGTGAATCTGACTCTCAATTTAGAATTCCCGTGCTTACGAAGAATCTCAGGGCGATTTATTAAGGTTTCGATGGTCCTAGAAGAACAGCTTCTCTATCTAGTTCTCGGTTCCCAGTAAAGAACTAGGTAGTCAGTGGGCCTTCTTTATGCAGAAAGCAAATGTGACACCCACCCTGGGGGGCTTTGGCAGAGGTGGGCCCATTCGTTTGAGTTGCTTACCTATTGTAGTTATTTCTGTTAAGGGTTACTTCCTCGGTGCCTCGATGGCCTACAACATCTAACCCTTGCCACCGTACACATGATTTGTGTTGGCAGGAAAACAGCAGCTGTGTTAACAATTACTTGTTCATGAACATGTGCTTAGATTGGGCTGTTTCAGTAGACGGAGGTACTTGTTAGGAGTAACCACGTCTTTTAGTTATTTGTTGGCATTGAACAAAATTGTTTTGCAAACTGTTTTCATTCTTGTTATAAGGTTGAGCAACTCTGTCCCACAAATTCTAGTTTTGCTTGGAAACTGCAAAGTAGTCCCCGAATATTTTAGAGGGAGTTGATATTGATGGCAAAAGAAACTTTGCAGCTATACATTTGCTTGTTACAGTTCCTTTTCTATAAAACCTTATTTTTGGTGATTTAAATAAAGCATTGCCTGAATGTTTGAGATTTTTATAGCTACACTTGGTTGTGTAATATTATGGTTCCTTTTCTGTAAAATGTTATTTTTGGCCATTTCAAATAAATCATTTCCCATCTTAAAAAAAAAAAAAAGAATTCCCGTGCTTAGCCACACAATGAGTTTAAAGAAAATATTTTCAGATCTTTGAAGTTATAGAAAATTTTAATTCTTTGTGAAAGATATAGTAGTAGAGATGTAGTTTAGCGCAAACTTCACTTTTTATAGTAAGTAGAAAATTGAAAAATAAAAAAACAGCTAAATAAGCAAGGTATTTAGAAATCACAGAGTTGTTACTGAGGCAAGTATAGGGAGTAAATAGCATTGGGTGTGCCTGCAGCTTATATAGGTGGGCCTGTAGAATTGTGTTGTGTGTTAGCCACTCAGTCGTGTCTGACTCTTTGCGACCCCATGGACTATAGCGCTCCAGGTTCCTCTGTCCATGGGATTTTCCAAGCAAGAATACTGGAGTGGGTTGCCATTTCCTTCTCCAGGGAATCTTCCCAACTCAGGGATCAAACCTGGGTCTCCTGCATTGCAGGCAGATATATGAGGTTTAACACTGTGAACCATTATTTTGATAGAAATGATAGGAAAATTTTAAAAAATTTAAAATCTGTATCATTACAGACTATATTCTGTGTTCATACTGTGAAAAGATTAAAGTCAGTAGCAAAAGACAAACAAAAAATGCCTTCTCGTATATTGGAAAAATGATACTTCTGAAAATTAATGAGTGGAAGATTTGTTATAGGAATTAGAAAATATTTAGAACTGAATAATAAAATTGCTACATACAGAGCATGTAGGATGCTGGTAAAGCATTATTTTCAGAGAGGATATTTAGCTAAGAAGAAAGGCTAAAAATTAATTAAGTGGGCATCAAAATCAACATTAGACAAAAAGAATAGGTAACTTGAAGAAAGTAGAAGAGAAAGATTTAAGAGCAGAAATTAATGAAATAAAAATGAGGAAGAGAGGAGCAAAAACATTTAAAGGTGGCTTAAAATAGCCTAAGAAGATACATAAAGCTAGTTAGCATGTATAGAAAAAAAATAGCATAGATTCAATTGTTTAGCATTAGGAAATTTGACATAATTTTTTAAGTCAGAAATGTTAGTGTGTTTATCAAAAGAAGCCAGAACATATTCGCTGGAACTCATCAGGTAAGAAAGGACATAAACTCCCAAAAGATATGTATATGTATATCTGTATACATATGTATACATATGTCTATATTCAGTGGACCTTCAATTGAGTTGTTTGGTTTTATTTTCCTAGCATGATTCAGAATGTGGCACTTTCTTTAGTTGTGACTTTGCTGCAAACATCTGAAATTTTTACTTGAAATTACTTTCAGAACCAGTTTGAGGCATATAAGGAAATTAGCTTAATTACTTAATAGGCACAGTTAGTATTTTGTCTAGAAATAGATTGCAATTTGTTATTCACATAATCTGCAGACTTGAACTCTTTATGACTTGGACCTTTCCAAAAAGCAAATTCAATTTTGGAAGGTGAAGATTTGACTTGGTGAACACCCAAAAGGATACGTCAGAAAGTCAAGAACATTTTGAACAATATCAGTGTCATTGCTCTGCAAGCATTCCAAAATGTCAGTTTGAAGCGTTAGGATATAAAAGTTTTGATATAAGTAGCTAATTACTTTATGGTCATACTACATCTCTGATTTGTTAGATTCCCGTTCTCTGGATTCTTTAATAAATAGGCACTTTAAAGGGATCAATTACAAAGTCAACATTTTGGGGGTTTTTTGTGACTGGATTTATAAAATGTGGAATGGGATTATTTTGTCATGCATCTGAATTTAGTAGATGACACTAGATAATAGTGATAAGGTTTTTTATAAAAGAAAGTATAGTTGATGCTTGAACAACACAGGTTTGAACTGCATGGGTCCACTTATACTCAGATGTTTTTCAGTAGTAAATAGAGTACCACACAGTCCAACGCTGGTTGAATTTGGAGATGTGGAGGAACTGCAGATATGGAAGGCCCCTGTCCCAGTGGTGCCTCTGGAGGCGTTAGTTGCTTTTACTGTGCTTGCTTAGGCTGTGCACATACCAAAATTGGAACAATACAGAGAAGATTAGCATGGCCCTTGCGCAAAGATGAAGTGCAAATTTGTGAATCGTTCCATGTTTTTTTGGGCTACCCAGGTGGCTTAGTGGTAAAGAATCTGCCTGCCGAGGCAGGAGACCCAGGGTTTGATCCCTGGGTTGGGAGGATCCCCTGGAGAAGGAAATGGCAACCCACTCCAGTATTCTTACCTGGGAAATCCCATGGATGGAGGAGCCTGGCGGGCTAGAGTCCATGAGGTTGCAAATAGTCGGACATGACTTAGCAACTAAGCACCTATAAATTATAGGTGGATTAACCCCCGTATTATTCAAGGGTCAGCTGTATGCATATTCGTAAAAACTCATTTTGTATATAAAAAGAACGTCTCTATGTGTATAACTGAGTCACTCTACTATACAGCAGAGATTGGCACAACATTGTAAATCAACTATACTTCAATTAAAAAAAACCTCCTATTTTGTCTAAATTGATTTTGCTCTTATGTAACAATAGAATATGTATTCAGGTTGTATTTTTATTTGCATTTAATAATTATTGGTTTAAATTTATTTCTTTAATATTCCTAGGTTTCAGGAAAGGATCAATCTGTAAGGCATAATTGGCAGAGAGCATGAATTTTGGATTAAATAGACCTAAGTTTTTAATCTCATTCTTGCTACTCACTAATTGTGTGACCTTGGGCAAGTGATTTAACTTTTCAGGGTTAGTTTCTTCATCTCAGAAAATGGAGACAATGCCTACCCAACTAAATAATTTTTAAGCGCCAGTGCGTAATAGCTGGTCATACATTGAATAGATTTGTTTCTTTTCCTGCTTGTCATGTATTGATAATTTGAAACTCATTAGTAAAATTAAAGAACTTTCTTAGCAGTCACTCTGAACATGACTTTAAGGTTTCCTTTAGGATTAGTTTGCCATTTACTTTAGTAAATACTATATTCTCTACATTGCCAAGAGGAGTGTTTGAGAAAGAAAGGAAGGATTTCAACTTTGTCAGTAGCTATAAATTAATGCTTAATGACATCCTTCTGATAACTTGTACTTAATATCTCCATGAAAGTGTTTTCATTTATCTTCAATCACAGGTACAGGAACCTTAAAGATAGATTTTGTTGGCGAGCTGAATGATAAAATGAAAGGTTTCTATAGAAGTAAATATACTACCCCTTCTGGAGAGGTGCGCTATGCTGCTGTCACACAGTTTGAGGTATGGTATTCTTTAAAATACAGGCTTCCCAGGTGGTGCTAGTGGTAAAGAGTCCTCCTGCCAATGCAGGAGACGTAAGATGCTCGTTCAGTCCCTCGGTACCCGCTCCAGTTTTCTTGTCTGAAGAATCCCATGGACAGAGGAGCCTGGCAGGCTACAGTCATGGGGTTGTGAAGAGTCAGACACGACTGATGCAACTTAGCACGCATGCATGCTTTAAAATATTATGATCTTGGGACTTCTCTCATGGACCTGTGGTTAAGAAGCTGCCTGCCAGAGGCTTCCCTGGTGACTCCGCGGTGAAGAATCCGTCTGCCGGTGGAGGAGACATGGGCTCTGTTCCTGGTCTGAGAAGATTCCACATGCTGTGGAACAGCTGAGCCCAGGCGCTCTTGAGCCTGTGCTGTAGAGCCCAGGAGCCGCACTGCTGAGCCTGCCCGCCACAAGTGCCGAGGCCCGTGCACCCTAGAGCCTGCACATCGTGTCCAAGAGTGGCCCCCGCTCACTGCAACTAGGGGAAAGTCCGCGCAGCAGCAAAAACAAAGCACAACCAAAAGTAAATAATGAAATTAAAAAATTTTTTTTAAAAGAAAGAAAGGATCTGCCTGCCAATGCAGGGGACATGGGCTTAGTCCCTGGTCCAGGTGCTAAGATTCCACATGCTGCAGAGCAACAAAGTCCATGCGCCACAACTACTGAGCTAGCACCCCAGAGCCCGTGCTCTGCAGTAAGAGAAGCCATGGCGGTGAGCAGCTTGCACACCGTAACCAGAGAGTAGCCCCCGTTTGCCACAGTAGAGAAGGCCCACATCAGCAGTGAAGAGCCCGTGTGCCACAGCAAAGACCCAGGGCAGCCAAAAAAAATCATGATCTTCAGTGAGACATTCTGACAAAGGTCTGTTCTCTTATTCGCCTGATTATTTGAGGATCGATGCCTATAACTGTAATTGTGTGAATGATTTTGAAATTTTTACTCTATATTCAGTTATCTCTATTATACAGGGGAGAGAATTAGGGATGTGGGCTGGGGAATGATATTTTTATAACAGTATCAATATTAATTTAGTAAGAAAAGCCACAGGTACAAAGTATAAAAGCAATCCAGGTATTGAAGTTTTGTTAACCTGTATGTATGCATATATAGCTATATACAGATATATATGGATTTTATATATATGTATATATTAAATATAATTTTGTTACCTGTGTGTATGTGAGAGTGTGATTCCAGTGCTTATCTCTAGCCCTTGTGAGCACTTCTTCATCTTGGAATGATTTGCTGTAGTGTGTCTCCAAATGATATGTAAAGGGAGAGTATGTGGGTGGTGTACTTCCTAAGTATTGGGATATCAGAAAATCTTTCATTTGCCTTTGTATTCAACCAGTTTTACTGAACATGTAAAAGATTTGTTGGGGGAAGGGGAAGAAAAAAAGTGCAGCCCCTGACATCAGATGAGATCGGGCTCGTTCAGGGTGGTATGACTGTAGACAGCCTCTGGCATCAGAAGTTGCCCTAGCACTGAAGCTAATACGTGGTGTTTTCCTGTTGGATATAAACAGAGTGCCAACCTCAGACAAGGTTACTACTTTGACACCATGATAAGGTGAGACAAAACAAGGACCCTTCATTATTTTCTCCAAGCACAGACAAAAACAAGGTCGTTTTGCTCATCACAAAAGACAAACAACTCCCTTTCTTGGTTAAAATGAGGGACTGTTGCTTTTTTACCAACTGCAGTCTTAGGCTTGCTGTAGTTTGCACTCTTTATATTAACAGAAAAGATAATACTGATAAAATTGCCTCCACTTTCTGACAGCCCTCAACTTAGAGTTCTTTCTTCCTTAATTTGTCTCCAAATCATTCAGGCAAATTCCAAATCACATAATAGTTTCTTACATTTTAACTAAGACGCCCCAACAGTTTCTTTTGAGTGAGTTTTCCCTTAACAAGCCCAACTTCTTCAGTGAGAGTAATACAACTGGCTTACAGTTTTTCTGTTTCAGAGGTGCATAAATGTTGGTCTAGGGACCACCCTGGTGGTTCAGTGGCTAAGACTCTGAGCTCCCAATGCATGGGGCCTAGGTTTGATTCTTGTTTAGGGACCTACATCCTATGTGCTGCAACTGAAGATCTCGCATGCCACAACTAAGACCTGATGCAGCCAAATAAATAAATATTTAAGAAACCCAGTATAGTTCAGGTTAATATGAAAAATTTTCTAATGTACAAAAACTTTGCTTCATTGTAGCTCCTGACTCCTTCATGCTATTCTTGTCATAAAAATTTGATCTTTATATAGTATTAATACATCTAAGCCTGTCAGTCATTTTCTAATTATTACCTTATACAGCTGCCTTTTAAAGACAGAGTTAAAGACAAAACAGAAAAAGAATTACAAATAAAAATGTTTATGGGAATTCCCTGGTCGGCTAGTGGTTAGGACTTTCCACTACAGGGAACTGATCAAGGTTCGATCCCTTGTTGGGGACCTAAAATCCTGTAAGCTGTGTGGTGTGGTACAGCCAAAAATGAAAAACAGACAAAACCCAAATAAAAATATTTACGCTGTGTTTATAATTCCTATGTGTTCCCCTTCATGGTGTTCTTCATTTCTTTGTATGGATTTGAGTTACCATTTACTGTATTTCACTTCAGCTTACAGGACTCCTTTCAGTATTTCTTATAAGGCAGGTCTGCTAATGATAAGTTCTCTGTCTTTTGGCACAGACTAATAAATAAATGAAAATAAATATTAAAAAGTATGTTGTTCTAAAGTCTTTTACATCTCATTTTGTCAAATGGGAGGAGTCAGACTAAAATGTCTCTTCTCCCTTTGTAGAGTAACACATTTTAAAATTTTGCTTTATTTTCTTTGTGATTGCTTGTTAAATTATTTCTTTATACCTAAAAATTTTTACCAGGTGTTCACTTTTCATTAACTTTTAATAATTGGTAAAGCCTACTTATATTCAAATTTAGATCTTTCATCAGTATAACAGTATTTTCTTCTATTGCATGTTCAGTATGTTTCTGTTCTGATGTCTTCTTCAGGAACATAATTTAATAATAGATTTAGGTCTAGTGTCTATCCCCTAAATGTACTTTTGATTGCTCTTATCACTTTGTCCTTTGTTTTTTTTTGCTTAATATATATATATTATTGAAGTATAGTTTACTTAACAGTGTTTCAGGTGCAAAGCAAGGTGATTCAGTTATGCATATATCATTTTTGAAATTATTTTCCATTATAGTTTATTACAAGATATTGACTATAGTTCCTTGTGCTATACAGTAAACCTTTGTTGCTTATTTCATCTTCCTATTTAGAAATCTAGGATTCTATTCATACTAAGTCAAACAAGTGGAATCCAAATATATTAGTTTTTAGTTAGGCAAAAATTCATAAATTTTCTAAAATATATATATATATATATCATACATATTATTTTTGTATGTGTATACATAAACTTTTCTACTATGCTTGATAAAGGCTTGAGAAAGAACATTAAAAAAAGAAAAAGATGGAGAAATTGGAAAACATAAAACTAAATGAAATGGGAGGACTGAATATGAAATAGAAAAAGTTAAATAAACTAGATAAAAGATCATATAGTCCAGTTGTTTTTAAACATGACTGCTCATTAGAAACATACCTGGAGCTCTGGAGGAAAAATGCAATACCTGGGCATTTATATTTTTCAAAAAATTTCAAGATAATTCTGATAAGCATCTGGATTTTAAAAAGTGATTACAGGTTTTTCTGTTAAATTGTAGTTTTGTTTGGTGATATAGAGTTCTATTAATTTTCTGTTGAGCAATCATAATGCAGTGGTATAAAGTCAGTAATCATTACATAATCACCATAGTAAAAGGTGTTTATCAGTTTTCCCAATCAATAGCCAGACAAAAAATAAAAGATAATTATAATTTTAAGCCATATTGGGAACATGATTAACTTAACAATATAAAGTAGTTCCATACAATTTGAGGGGGTCAAACAGAGTGATGTAAATGGAAGTACATCATGCACGTGTTTTCATCTTCCTAGCCAGTGTATGTCTTTTGGTTGGTGCATTTAATCCATTTACATTTAAGGTAATTATCAGTATGTATGATCCTATTACCATTGTCTTAATTGTTTTGGGTTTATTTTTGAAAGTCTTTTCCTTCTCTTGTGTTTCCTTCTTAAAGTTCCTTTAGCATTTGTTGTAAACCTGGTTTGGTGGTGCTGAATTCTCTTAACTTTTGCTTGTCGGGAAAGCTTTTGATTTCTCCATCAAATCTGAAGGAGAGTCTTTCTGGGTATTCTTGGTTGTAGATTCTTCCCTTTCATCACTTTAAACATATCATGCTGTTCACTTCTGTCTTGTAGAGTTTCTGTTGAGAAATCAGCTGATAGCCTGATGGGAGTTCCCTTATATGTTATTTGTTGTTTTTCTCTTGTTGCTTTTAGTATTTTAGCTTTGTCTTTAATTTTTGTCAGTTTGATTACTGTGTATCTCAGTGTGTTCCTCCTCGGGTTTGTCCTTCCTGGGACACTCTGTGCTGCCTGGACTTGGCTAACTCTTTCCTTTCCCATGTTAGGGAAATTTTCAGCTATTACTTCTTCACATATTTTCTCAAGTCCTTTTTCTCTCCCTCCTCTTTCTGGGACCCCTATAATGTGAGTGTTGGTGCATTCAGTGTTGTCCCAGAGGTCTCTTAGGCTGTCTTCATTTCTTTTCATCCTTTTTTCTATATTCTGTTCTGCGGCAGTGATTTCCACCATTCTGTCCTCCAAGTCATTTATCTCTTCTTTTGCCTCAGTTATTCTGCTCTTGATTCCTTCTAGTATATTATTCATCTTTTTTAGATCTTGTAGGTCTTTGGTAAACATTTCTTGCGTCTTCATTGTTTTCACGAGATCCTGGATCATCTTCATTATCATTATTCTGAATTCTTTTTCTGGAAGCTTGCCTATCTCTACTTCATTTAGTAGTTTTTCTGGGGTTTTATCCTGTCCCTTCATCTATGACATAACTTTCTGCTTTTTCGTTGAGATTAACTTTGTGTTTGGTTATGGTTTTTGTCTTAGCTGCTGTGGGACTGTGGGACTGCTGCTCCTTGCTTCTTAGATCTGCCCTCTGATGGAGCAGGCTAAGAGGCTTGTGTAAGCTTCCTGATGGGAGGGACTGGCAGTGAGAAAAACTGGGTCTTGCTCTGGTGGGCAGGGCCTTGCTCAGTAAAGCTTTAATCCAGTTATCTGCTGACGGGTGTGGTTGCACTCCCTCCCTGGTAGTTGTTTGCCCTATGGTAGGGTTAATGGCAAACTCCAAGAGGGTTTACTATGCCAAGGGGGGGCCTTCCTGGCCTGATGGGGCCCATGCCTCTGTCCCTGTGGTGAGCCCCTGTTAACCCACGCCCCCACAGGAGACCGTCCAACACTAGCAGGCAGCTGTGATTCAGTCTTCTGTGGGGTCACTGCTCCTTTCCTCTGGTCTTGGTGTGTGCAAGATTTTGTTTGTGACCTCCAAGACTGGAGCCTCTGTTTCCCCTAGTCCTGTGGAAGTCCTGTAATCAAATCCTGCACACCTTCAAGGCCAGATTTCCTGGGGATTCCCAGTCCCTTTGTCCAATACCTAGGCTGGGAAACCTTACTTGGGGTTCAGAACCTTCACCATAGTGCAAGAACTTCTTTGGTATTATTGTTCTCCAGTTTGTGGGTCACCCACAACTAGATACAACTAGAGAGAAGCCTACCCACCACACCAAAATATCCTGTGTGCAGCAACTAAGGCCCAATGCAGCCAGATAGATAAGTACATTAAAAAAAAAAAAAATAGAAACTTAGACTTACTGTGTCATTCATTTAATTTCCTCTAGTATAAACTCATTAATTTAGTGCTGCTCCTAATTTGAATTTTTCTGTGTATTTTTTTCCTTACAGTCTACTTACTTTTTCAAACATCTTATTTACTGTTTAGTAGAATTCATAATTTAATTTCTTTGACAGTGCAGTCAGATATGTCACATTTTTCCTTCAAGAAATCCTTTTTTAAAACTGTTTATTTATTTATTCATTGGCTGTGCTGGGTCTTCGTTGCTGTGCAGGCTTTTCTCTAGTTGTGGTCAGCATGGGCTACTCTAGCTGTGGTATGCAGGCTTTGCCATGGCTTCTCTCGTTGTAGAGCACAAGCTCTAAGGCACGTGGGCTCAGTAGTTGCAGCTCCTGCGCTCTAGAGCACAGGCTCTGTAGCTGTGGCACAGGGGGCTTGTTGCTCCATGGCATGTGGGATCTTCTCAGATCAGGGATCAAACCCTTGTCTCCTGCATTGGCAGGTGGGTTCTTTACCACTGAGCCACCAAGAAAGCCCCAAGAAGTCCTTTTTCAGAAGTCTGTGTTTCCCTGACAGGCCAGTGGTTAAGATTCCACCCTTTAATGGCTGGGGGCATGAGTTTGATCCCTGATGGGGAACTAAGATCCCACATGCTGTTCAGACAATAAAAAAGAAAAGAAACAAACAAAAATTTTTAAGAAGCAACAGTTAGAACCAGATGTGAAACAACGGACTGGTTCAAAATTGGGAAAAGCTGTATATTGTCACCCTGCTTATTTGACTTATACGCAGAGTACATCATGCAAAATGCTGGGCTGGATGAAGCACAAGCTGAAATCAAGATTGCTGGAGAAGTATAAATAACCTCATGTATGGAGATGACACCACCCTAGTGGCAGAAATTGAAAAGGAACTAAAGAGCCTCTTGATGAAGGTGAAAGAGGAGAGTGAGAAAGCTGGCTTAGAACTCAACATTCAGAAAACTAAGATCATGGCATCTGATCCCATCACTTCATGGCAAATAGATGGGGAAACAATGGAAACAGTGACAGACTTTATTTACTTGGGCTCCAAAATCACTGTGGAGAGTGACTGCAGCCATAAAATTAAAAGACGCTTGCTCCTTGGAAAAAAAGCTATGACAGACCTGGACAGTGTATTAGAAGAAGAGACATCACTTTGCTGACAAATGTCCATATAGCATTGGACCATGAAGAAGGCTGAGTGCCGAAGAATTGTTGCTTTTGAACTGTGGTGCTGGAGAAGACTCTTTTGAAAGTCCTTGGCCAACAAGGAGATCAAATCAGTCAATCCTAAAGGAAATCAACCCTGAATATCCACTGGAAGGACTGATACTGAAGCTCCAATACTTTGGCCACCTGATAGGAAGAGCCAACTCGCTGGAAAAGACCCTGATGCTGGGAAAGATTGAGGACAGGAGGAGAAGGGGGCAACAGGATGAAATGATTAAATGGCATTATTGACTCAGTGGACATGAGTTTGAGCAAACTCTGGGAGATAGTGAAGGACAGGGAAGCCTGGTGTGCTGCAGTCCAATGGGTCACAGAGTCGGACGCGACTGAGGGGCTCAACAACAATCTGCTTTCTCTACCTCTGCACATTTTGTTTGTTCTTTTTAAGATACAGAATCTTAGCGGTTCTATTTCTATTTTATTAAAGATTCTTTCTTTTATAACTGATATTCTGCTGCACCACTAAATCTTATTTTGCTTTAAAGTTTATTACTCTTTTATATGTTTACAGAAAGGATGAGATCTCTTTAAATAAGTAGGTCAAATGCTGACAGTTTTATGTGTTGTATGTGAAAGTGCTACCTTGTATTTTCTTTGTAATCAGTGCCTAGCTTATTGCCTAGCACTGAGTCAAAAATAAATATTTGAAAAAGTGAATGAATGAATGATAGAAAGAAATGGTTGTTACTTCATGAAATAGTCCGGTAGGTTCATTCAGTGATAGTTCATATTTCATATTCTTTTTTTAAGGCTACTGATGCCCGGAGAGCTTTTCCTTGCTGGGATGAACCTGCCATCAAAGCAACTTTTGATATTTCATTGGTTGTTCCTAAAGACAGAGTAGCTTTATCAAACATGGTATGTATGTGTTAGTGAGTATTCTTATATTTTGAATAAACATTTAGCATATTTTGTTTGCTGATTAGATGGGATAGCATGGAACTACCTAGTCACCCAGCACAGTACTTGACACATAATGGGAGCACGAATGTTAGTGTTCTTAGTTTCTTGTAAGCCCTCCTTTTTTTTTTTAATTGCCTTATTTGGGGAGTTTTCCTGCATCCTGGAGGAAATTCCTTGTAAGCTATGTTAACAAGATTACCTGCTTCCTTTAATTTGGAAATCAAAGTAAGAAATGAACTTAATAACTATTACCTGAGAGAAAAAAAATCTGATATTCTTACTAAATGCCAAAAGTTAAAAAAAAAAAAAAAATGCCAAAAGTTACAGCCATGTAATGAAGTGTATTTAGGCTTTAACTGATTGTGTTCTTGGATGTGCTGAGATGTTCCTTCACTGAGGTCACTGAATGTCATTCATATAGAATAAGTATTTACTACTTGAAATGTGTTGTCTAAGACTGCCTTATTTAAGACATAGAGTAGCCGGCAGACTATAATAGGAGTCTAGGGAACTTGGAAACACCTGCTGGACTTGAATGGCTTTTGCTTCCTTTATTAGTGGAGAGAATTCTGTAGATTCTCTTCTTAAAGACGCTCTTCTTAAATATTCTTAGGAAGCTAATAAATTACACTGAAATGTTCATTTGCAGTTTAATGCAAATGAATTTATCAGATCAGTTCTTGAATAAGTCTTACTTGGAAGAAAAAATGGCAAGAACTTGGGGAAACTGAGAGCCTGAGTAGGAAAAAGAGGGAAATTAGGGAACTCTAAAAGTAAATGAGATTTGTCACAAGATTTGCTTAGAACCAACCTTCATACAGAATATGCTCTAAATATAGAAATCTGTGCCCTTTGAAATGTCCAGTTTCACAACTACATTTTATTTTCATTAATTGTTGTCTTCTATCCTTCATTCACTTGAAAAATATTAAAATCTTAAAACATCCCAATACCTGTTAATAGGTATTCAAGAAAAGTTGCTTCTTTTACCTTTCAAATCCTTGGTACTTTTAACACTTCAGCTCCAACTTCTTAGTGTGTTTTCTTCATCAGTTCACTTTCTTTCTTAACAGGAAAAGTCTTGAGTGTGTAATAGTCCTGGGTAAATTAGGATAGAGAAGTAAGCAGTGCTGGAAAGGGGGAAGAAAAGGCTGCAAAGCCTACAGTTTTGGGGTGGTGTTTGAGCTAAGGTATTTAATGTAAATCTGTTAAATTTTCCTTTTTTTTTTTTTTTAAAGAATGTAATTGATCGGAAACCGTACCCTGATGATGAAAATGTAGTGGAAGTGAAGTTTGCTCGCACACCTGTCATGTCTACATATCTGGTGGCATTTGTTGTGGGTGAATATGACTTTGTAGAAACAAGGTCAAAAGATGGTGTGTGTGTCCGTGTTTACACCCCTGTTGGCAAAGCAGAGCAAGGAAAATTTGCGTTAGAGGTAATTGTACTTGAAGAGGATTGTTCCAACAGTCCATAACTCCAGGTTGGGGAATTTACATTTCTGATCAATTATTAGTACAATTATTTATAATCTAATCTGAAATATCTTGTGCTACTTTGGTTTTACTTTTAATAGAATCTTGGAACTAGCAAGTTTGGTGTTGTATTAACATTTTGAAAGATACTGATTAAGAGAATATTAGAATGGAATTTATTAACCTAGAGAGTGGGTGGGAATATATGTAATTGTACTTTTCATACTGAGTTAATAAATGGATTAAAGTTTGGCTGACATATACAAAGCTTAGGGCTAAAGCAGTCTCTGGAAGTGGGGTCCCCCAGGGTTGGTTTCTTGTAACTCGAGATATTTGGCTTGCAACTGGATTCCTTTGTGGATTTGTGTAGGAATGGCAATTGGATTTATCAGATGGTTCTTTTCTTTATACTTTTATAGGTTGCTGCTAAAACTCTGCCTTTTTATAAGGACTACTTCAATGTTCCTTATCCTCTACCTAAAATTGATCTCATTGCTATTGCAGACTTTGCAGCTGGTAAAGTAAATTTCATTTTATTGATAAATTGTAATAACTTTTATTTTGAATTGTATGATTTTTTCAAGAAGAAGTATGTATAAATATCAATAAATGTTTATATTTATTTTATGAAGGTGCCATGGAGAACTGGGGCCTTGTTACTTATAGGTATGTTAATGATGTATTACCCTGCCTTGTCTTTTAAGTCACTGATTTCATGAGTGCTTCACTCGTAATTACAGTTTAGTAGCTTCTGCTTTATGATCTGCCATAAATTTTCCTACCTTCCCCCATTTCCTTGAACATTTCAAGAATGCGGATGAACACCCTCTGGTGCTATCTGAGAGTGTAAGATTTTAAAGTGAGCATCTGGCATTAGTAGCATTTGTAGATGTATTTTTGGCTGAGTTTCTCATTTCAGTGCCTTCTCTTCCTCCTGGTAGTTACATAGTTATATATCCAGCTTGAAGAACTTCCCCTGGTTTAATGTCTTCTAGCCAAGTTCTCCAGTGTTCTTGCCTGGAGAATCCTAGGGATAGGGGAGCCTGGCGGGCTGCCGTCTATGGGGTCGCACAGAGTCGGACACGACTGAAGCGACTTAGCAGCAGCAGCAGCCAAGTTCTTACATGTCTGTCACCACAGTACAAACATGTGGGTTGTATAATTTTAAAAGCAATGTCTGTAAACAAGTTTTGGCCTTCTACTTTCAATTGCCTTCTTCGATGAGCTAAGTTTTGGACACACTGTTCAGTGTTCTTTTTGGGACTGTGGAATGCATCTTTCCTCAGCTTGCCATTTCTCTGCTTTTAATGGAAGAACTGTCTTCACTTTCTGTCTAGCATAATAATCCCTAATCCTTTAGATAGTTTTTCTAAAATTTCAGGCAGCTATCCTATAAACAAACTGATAATTAAACTTGTGTCAGATCTTTGATCTTCTTTTGTATGAATTCAACTGGAATAGTCTTTAATCTTCCCAGAACTTTTTCTATCCTGTGTACTCTGAGGAAATGTTTTCTTGACATCTTTAAAGCCTAACTTGACCATCTTATTTACTGTTTGAATCTCCCTCCCCCATTTCTGCATGCCTGGTTTTATTGAAATACTTCTATTAAAAAAAAAAAATTTTTTTTTTTTAAACACAGGGAGACTGCATTGCTTATTGATCCAAAAAACTCCTGTTCTTCATCACGCCAGTGGGTTGCTCTGGTTGTGGGACATGAACTCGCCCATCAATGGTTTGGAAATCTTGTTACTATGGTATTTAATATTTTTAAGTGCTCAAATACATTTTTTTTTTCTGCTACACCTTATGTTGGCTAAATAGTATTTCAGGTTTGGCTGGCACATGGTACTAAAAAAGCTTTTTTGATAGAAAAACTTTATTTTGAAAAGATTTTTATCAGGATATCCATATTAATTAAGAACATATAAGTAATCTTTATTCAACAGAAAATACTACTTAAACTGTTGTAAATACTGCCTGCAAATGGGGCAAGTCATGATATTAATTTGGGTGAAAGGAAGAGATTCCACTTAGATACACAATTTCCATGCAGTGAGATTCAGGCTAACTGAAGTTTCTTGTGTCATGTCACTAGCTGTAAAGTAACCTGATGAATAGCAAACTAATCTTTAATAAGGTTGAAATGTTTTTAAGGGTCATTTTCTTCATTGCCTAAAATTTTTAAGTTGAAATTTGATAGAAATGAAGGCAAAGAAACTACAGAATAACTGAAGTATATTAAAATTTCCAGCTGTCCTATTGAAGTCCTTGTTTATTGTAATGTTTGTAGTGAATGATCTCTGTCCTCTAGTCTTGACCTTTCCCTTTTACTCTAAATGAGTACTATCTATAGCAACCAACTGTTTTAGAGCTTGGGAGCACAGCTTTTAATAAGTGAACTAGAAGTACCTCTGCAAAGAAAGAACTGGAGATTGTGGAGCCAGCCAAATTTCCTGATGGCATTTTAGGCTGCCAAAGAGCAGAGCCCAACTTGGATGTTAGTTGAGACCACATGTCACAGAAATAAGCAGGAAAGAAAAACATTTAGCAACTCTTAAATGTCTGAGTTTGAGCAAACCCGAGGAGATAGCGCAGGACAGGGAAGCCTAGCGTGCTGCTGTCCATGGGGTCACAAAGAGTCGGACGTGACTTAGTGACCGAAACAGCAGTGTGTCCGAAAGAGTTCCTAAAGAAAGTCAGCCCTTGAAAATAAATCCTTTCCTTTTTGCTTTAGTTGTTTAAAATTTTGCTTAGGGGTTAAAAGGAAAAAAAAAAAAGAAAAGGTTGTTTGAAATATACTTTTACATGAAATTAAGTATGCTAGTACCTGTGTTCAAATGTCAAAAATGTTCCTTTCTCCTAATGCAGCAAGTTTGTTGCTACCAAACAATTTTTTTTTTTTTTTTTTGCTGTGTTGAGCAGATTTTATTTTTTGTGATTTTATTTTTAAACTTCCAGTAATAAATTTTAATAGGGGAAATGTGTGCAGTCTCATGTTGCTTTTAAACAACTTTTTGTTGTATTTGAGTAACTTCTAGTTATTGGATGTCAGTTTTTTCATTAACTGAAATATAGGGGTTTAGAGAGAGTTGGAAAATTACTAGCTTTGTACCAGCTTATCCCAGTGGAGTCTGTTAGTTAAGTAAGTACACAAAACATGCAGACAGATAGCCATTTATCACTTTATTGAAAACTTTGGTCTTTTCAGAATTTTTAAATACCCTTTTGTTTTTTACCATTGCATTTGTCCTTTATCTTGAATCCATATAGTATTGCTTTTTTTATAAGAGATTTAATCAAGTTTAATGAACATTAGATTGAAATCTTCCTAGAAAGTTTATTTCTATTTGAAAAAGTTGATTTAGAAAAAAAAGTTGATTTTGTCTATAACCCATTATATTCTTTGTCTACTCCACTATTGATTCTTATTGTTAACAAATGAGAATTTTATATTCTATAAATGTTTAAATACCAGTTATATTTAAACTTACTGCTATGACATTTTGTTAATTTCATGTAATTCTTGTATAAGCAATACTACTTTTCTGTTTGTCTAGAAAGTTTAACTTGTCACTCAGCAATGATTTTTTTCCCCTGTCATGGAGATAGTTCCCAGTTTTCCTTGTTTGGTCCTAATAACTTCCTGGTTTCTTAAAGAGAGTTGTTTATTAAACTGAATTTTATATGACAATGTAGCTCTTGCAGACAGTTATTCACTCTCTTCCCATTTTCCATCCTGAGGGTGTTTTTCATCCCCCTTCTTCCTCCTTTTCTACCTTTAGTACCAAAAAGTTACTTAGCAGTGGTGATAAATGCTGGTGTCACCAGTTGGCTGTTTTTGGCAATTCTTTTGTTCATAGATGTGAGTTATTTATTGTTTTGAATTGAATTTTAGTTCATTAAGAGCTTTAGAGTATAATGGAAGGGACATCAGAGTAGTTTTTATATTAGTGGAATGACAAGCATCTTTTCTTTACATATTTCCATCTTCTGTTTTTAGGAATGGTGGACTCATCTTTGGTTAAATGAAGGCTTTGCATCATGGATTGAGTATCTGTGTGTAGACCACTGCTTCCCAGAGTATGATATCTGGACTCAGTTTGTTTCTGCTGATTATACACGAGCTCAGGAGCTTGACGCCTTAGATAACAGCCATCCCATTGAAGTGAGACGTAATTTTCAGTCATTGACCTTTGCTTTCACTTTCAATGAAATATGTAGGTTTTTTAAATAGAAATACTTGGGACTCTGAAAAGAAAATTGCATGAGTGATGTCACTTACTTTTGTAGTTTGTATTTCCATCTTGAAACTGCAGACAGATTCTTTATTGAGTGAGCTACAAAGGAAATCCCCTTGAAACTGTACAAAGTTCTAGCTCTGTTTCATTTTAAACATCTATATCTTTGTAGAAGCAAGTTTTCTGTATCCATAAACATTCACTGAATAGATTTTTATTGAATAGTAATGAGGGAACCATACCTGTTGGGTAATATTATGATTCTGTTGTTTCAAAGAAAATTCTAAACATACTCTTCTGTTGTTGTCATTGCTTCATATATATTTTAATTCTTTGGACTTAATCTGTCCTATTTCAGCTAGTTTATATGTATAAATTTTGCCTTCAAAGAGCTAGACTTATAATCTACTTTGACATATTTAACCTGAGTCCTATGTAACTGTTAGCCATTCCAATAAGTACAAGAAGTCAAATGTTTTTCATCTCTCCCTTCCTTACCTTCACCTCCCTATCTCCAAAGAGATCCACAGTGACTTGCCTTCCAGCAAAGCAGTATCAAGACTGGAACCCAGGCCCTAAAGAGATGACGGGGATCGTGTTATGTATTCTGTTTTATTAGTATTAGTTATTACTCCCTTTTAAACAATTACACAGTGTGAGTCACCTAAAGGCAAAAAGTATCTTATGAGTTAGAAGAGTTTTTCTAGAAACTCTTTATGTAATTCAGTATGTATGTAATTCAGTCAGTCTGCTTCCTGTTATAACCTTAAATCACACTGTCTGCCAGGTCAGTGTGGGCCATCCTTCTGAAGTTGATGAGATATTTGATGCAATATCATACAGCAAAGGTGCATCTGTCATCCGAATGCTACATGACTACGTTGGAGATAAGGTAAAAAAAATAATAATAATAATTAAATTCTTTTATGGTGATCCCACAGAGTTTTACATGAAAAAGAAAAGTTTGATTTTATTTAGGTTAAGTTTCCCAAGTAATTTTTCTAGAATCTATAAGAATATTATTCTGGCTTGTCTTTATTTCTTTTTATGTTGACTGTCTTGGTCTCTTAAATGAATGATGTTGCAAATATATTTTGGGGGTTGATGGAAGTCTGGTATAAAACTTAAAAAGCAAAAGTAGAAGGCAAAGCAAATGCATTCTTAAACAAAAGGCAATAGACATTACTGTGTTTTAGTAAATCTAATACTCAAGTAACTTTGAGTAAATTAATTTTTGAGTACTCTGTAGTCAAAATATACTATAATTCTGAGTTCTGACTCTCCTGGATTTTAAAAATTGTGTTTTCTCAGGACTTTAAGAAAGGAATGAACATGTATTTAACCAAGTTCCAACAAAAGAATGCTGCCACAGGTAATTTTTAATAACTTGAGATAGAAATGGAGAGAATGTTGGCACATTATCCAGAGTATGATATTTTTTTTTTTTTCTAAATACTTGATTTTTCCATGTGATGGATAGGAAATAAAGTTGACTTCTTTGAAGATATATTACGTCATAGATCAGCATGAATCAGGACCTGTCATCCCCTTGGTCAGCCTCCAGCCTCCAGTGGTCAGCTTGCCACAGCCCAGTGTTTTGCCACTCTCAAGAGTCTGAAAAGTTCTGTTTACTTTACCAGAGCTTGTTCTTTTCTGGTGATTTGTGGGTTTTGTTGCCCTTAATTGACCATTGGCCATTAAAATAGCTTCAGATTAACCATTTGTAGGGGTTGAACTTGTGGAACTGCAGATTTCCAATAAAGTAAATTCTTAAAATTTTATGATAGTCTATGATTTATTAGATATTAGAGTCAAAAGGAAGAATAAAGGTGTACTAGTTGATTGATTATGAAACTGAGTTCCATAATGAACAAAAATAGTTTAAAAAGCAAGAAGATTTGTGTAATGTCATTAGTGTTTAATAGAATCCCCAACCAGGAATTTAATCGATTGCCAATCAGGGATCAAACCCAGGCTCACAGCAGTGGAAGCGCAGAGTCCTGACCACTGGACTGCCAGGGAATTCCCCTGTACTTTCCTTTTTGTACATATACAGTCTGTCTATTTGGAATGTTCCTTTCTCCCCTGTCTAATGAGCAACTCCTCTTCAAGATTCAGAACAAAAATTATGTCTTGTGAAACCTTTATTCTTTGGATTTTTCTTTAAGGGCTTTTTCCTCTGTTCATTCCTCTGTTATTGGAACAGTTTGTAATATAGTTCACTTAATGGCAAGGCAAGGGTAACATTAATTTGGTCCACTGTTTGTTTCCTGAACCTGAAAAAAAAACACAAAATTGGTCAATGATGCAGTTTCAAGTTATATAAAATTTCTGGTTTGTTTACAAAAATAAAAATGTAGACATTTTAAATTTTCATTGTTTGTATTTATCTTCTAGAGGATCTCTGGGAAAGTTTAGAAAATGCTAGTGGTAAACCTATAGCAGCTGTGATGAATACCTGGACCAAACAAATGGGATTCCCTCTCATTTATGTAGAAGCAGAACAGGTAAACTTATACGAAGTTCTTCAATTTGTCTGATATTATATTAACTGAAATTCAGTGAGTGTTACAGATTTGCTTTTCTGTACTTTAAGTATTCTAAGTAAGATTTAAACCAGCCCTTATACTCTTTTTCTCAGTGATTTATTATCTCTATACCCAAAAGTTTGCCCCACATCTTTAAAATTATACATGGGTACGGTGGAAAACAAAATATTGTCTGCTATTACTGTCCTCGAGGAAAACACTGTAACATTGTTGATATAATTCTAAAATCACCAAAGGTGATTTAGTCTAAGAATGCAAAGTTGGTTTTATATTAAACAAATTAATCAAGGTATGACTCATAGTTACTACATTAACAGAACCAAATTAGAAGAACCATATGTATTACTAGATGCTTAAAAAAGATTTGATAAAAATTCAACACCCATTTATAATACTATTCTTCAAAATTAGTTTTTAATGTTGGATGGCAGTGTGATTTTGATTAGAATTGCATTCATATTAGTTGAACTGTTATCTGAATTTAGACAGGTGTAGTTCAAAATGAGTTGTCCTCCAGAAGGACTGAAAATTACACATCATCCTGTCATGCACACCAGAAAGTTTGTCTTAACTTAGTTTAATTGTATGAAATTGTGAAATCTTTCTCTTAAATTTCTTTGCCATGATTTTATGAGCTGCATAGAGAATTAATTCCATTCATTTTTGGGGAGGAAGATTCATAGCTCTTTTTTTGGTATGTTTGTCCTTGTGGTTCTGCATTGTCCCTAAAGCTAATATTTTACAAAGTCTTCTCATTGTGGCAGTTTAAGTTAGTAAATTTGCTTTTCTGTAATTTAAGAGTCTAGATGACGTTTAAATAAGCCCTTGTACTCTGAGAATGCGCCCAAGTGCTTGCAAGTTAACCTTTTAGAGACACGTCTTAACCTTAAATATGACTGTATTTTATAATAAAGTATACACATTGGAGGACCTCTCAGATTGGCTGCAAACATTTGAAAAGGCAATTTAGGTAACACAGTTAATGCTAGTTGGTGGGAAAAGATATCTAAAACTTTAGTGAGCTACCATTGTGACCATTCTGTTTCTTTCTAGTCTTCTTTCTCCACTTTGAACTAGTCTGTTACAGGAGATGACTTGATCAAGCTTGACATTGACACTCTATACAGATTGACAGATGGTTTTCATTTTATCTGGTATATCTGACTATACCAACAATCATTGTTGCTTTCACTTCTGGGAATTTCTATCCCTCAAAAACTGTCAATACCTCAAAACTATTAAACTATTTAATGATTATACATAAAGCAAACTAAGGCCATAATATTTTCAAGTAGAGTATACTTTTAAGAGCATAATAATTTATCAGAAGAGAGGATACTAATACCCCACTTCCTCCCAATGTTTTTGAGACTCAAGGAACTTAAAACATCAAGATACTTTCAAGATCTTACTCTTTTTTTGCACTTTTTTGGTCTACAAGCATAGCCAAATTCATCCTCCTTTTTACATTACAACAAAATGCATGCCTATGACTCAGTTCTTTTACAAATAGGAGAGCTCTGCAACATAGCATTTTGATTATGATCTGTCTCTCAGCTTATTAGTCCCTGAATTTAAATATTTTTGCTTTATTTCAGAATCTATTTAAAAGTTACCTGATAACTTTTTCAAGGAAATCTGTGTGATACATAACTAATCAGTGATGTAGTATTGAAGTTCATTAGTTGTTCCTTTATGGCATTGAAATGGCCATTGCTTCCCCACTCATATTTTTCAGTTCTGTCTCTTATAATCAGTTGATCCCTTTATAAAAGTCATTGACCCAATTTTACATTTGATATAGGTGATCTTAAACCTGTTATAGCTTGTGTTATTTAAAATGTTCTAGAGTCAGACACAACTGAGTGACTTCACTTTCACTTTTCACCTTCATGCATTGGAGAAGGAAATGGCAACCCACTCCAGTGTTCTCGCCTGGAGAATCCCAGGGATGGGGGAGCCTGGTGGGCTGCCATCTGTGGGGTCCACAGAGTCGGACACGACTGAAGCGACTCAGCAGCAGCAGCAGCAGCGTATAGTAACAATAACTAAACAAAAGATTGAGTATTGTTGAAGTATTTTTTTTAATGTACTGGCCTTTATTGCTTGTTTTTAGCTCATTGCAGTCTGCAGTGACTTCTGGGTTTCATTGCAAAGCTCATGCTTTGAAACAGGGCGTGTTGGGCTTTCATGTTTGTCATTCTTTTTTTTTAAACCCAAACTTGAAACTTTTTATTTTGTGTTGGGGTAAAGCCAATTAGCAATGCTGTGGTAGTTTCAGGTGAACAGCTGAAGGGACTCAGCCATCCCTGTACATGTATCCATTCTGAATGACTTTTAATATTGAATCCACATGCTAATTTAATGTTGCCACTTTTTGGAAAAAACTAAACACATAACCCTCCTCCATAAAAGTTAACTATGTATCCCTTTTGGAACTTTGAAGTTCATATCTGGATACATCTCTGTTCTCAAGGGCATTATTACACAGTACCTGGCCTTTTATTTTTAGAGTTTGTTATTTTGAGGCCTTGATGAGAAATCGTTTTCTTCTATTCTGTAGTATCATCATGTTTCTCACCATTGCATTTTGTATATTCAGGAGCCATTTGGCTGAACTGGTTTCACCTGTGCTTTGTCACAGAAATGTCTCCTCCAAGAAAAAAAAGTGTTAATGCTACTACAACCTTTGTTTTGTTTTGCTTCTTTAGGTAGAAGATGACAGATTACTGAGGTTGTCCCAAAAGAAGTTCTGTGCCAGTGGACCATATGTTGGTAGGCAAATGGCTATACATGGGAGCTAATCAATAAATTTGGATACTATACCAGTAGTGTTCAAACTAATAATAAATAATTATCCATGTAAAAATAATAGAATTAAATAGAAACAAGGAAATGGTAATAGAATAAAAATGATAGGGGAGGAAAAGGAGGTTCATAGGGTATTTGTAATATTCTATGTCTCTCTGTGTTATTGGAGGCTATAATGGATGCATAAGGATATAAACATCAAGAAGTCATGGCTCTAGCCTGAATCCCTGAAAGAAAACTTGGTTTACAATTTTGTACCAACGCTTATGCACCTGTGTACTAAGTACATTTGGTATACTTGTGTACTGAGTGTATACACAGTGACTTTTTTAAAAAAAATTCTTGGCCATAGTAAGTAGCTAAGCAAATAAACCTCAATGATTATTTAGAATTATTTTGTACCAGTCATTGTGCTAATAAGCACTATAACTGACCCTTATTTTGTACTCTCAGCAACCCTACTAAGTGGGTCATATTATTTCTGTTTTACAAATGAGGGAGCTGAGGCATAACTAGGTAAGTTAAATTGTCTAGGTTCACCTATATAATGAGTAAAAGAGTAGGAATTCAAATGAGGTAGTTGCATTATATAAGTTTATACTCAACTACCACTCAGCTGTGCTTTCTAAATATTTCTACATGACATTAGACTTTTGTACCCAGGGAATTAAAAGATAAATTGAAAAATTAAGAAGTATTTTTCTGCACCTTTCTCACTTCCTTTAAAATAGTTCTCAACAGAGAGAGTTATATCAGAACCACCACCTTTTCATGTTTGACCTGCCAAATGATGATGCACTCTAGCACGGTTAAGTGGCACAGCCTTCAACTCTTAGCCTTCCCAGCATTGAGAATTACTGTCTTAATAAATGTGTCTGACAGATCAGATGACAGGTTAATCATCTAAATAAATAATGTCGCAGTTGCTATTTTCCACATATACCTGCAATCTGCATTGTATGACTGACAGGTTTTACGGGTTTTTCTAATACTCTGACCACTGTAGGTTGTATTAAAACCTGAATTATCCTAGTGTCAGGAGAGAATTTTCATTTGTGGTTTAGCCTGATAGCATAAAGCTATTTAAGTGATTAAGATAGTTCCATTAATGTACTGGGCAATGACTTACTTTTGTTTGGCATCTTAATGCAAAATCTATTTTGCTAATACTTGAAAGAATGTATGTATTTGTCTTACAAAACCTTTGGCTTTTAGCTATGACTCCTCAGTGATGGAATCTAACAACTCCCAAGCTGTATCCTATCACAGTGTCTCAGTAGTATATATACCTATTAAAGACTGCACTTTAGAATTTGTTTTTAAGTGCTATGTGAGAGCTTTAACCCACTCAAAATGTCTTCTATCATTAAAATCATTATCTCTATTGCTACAATCCGTAGGGTCACAAAGAGTTTGACATGACTAAGCAGACTAAGCATCATGATATTGCTCTGAAAAGGGAAAAACAACAAAATCATTGTATTTGTGATTCTACACAAATACAGATTCTGTTGTTCTCTTTTTTTATAGGCTGTTGTGATTTTGTTAGTAAATTATTATTATTCAGGTTACCTAGAAGATTTCATGTATCATTAAAAAGGAGCTGTTGGCTTAACAGATTCAAGCCCATACATGGAACACCAATCCTCTCTCTGTACCTTACTTTCCATTTCTTCCATTGAAAAAATTATTTTCAACTTTTCTGTTTGTTATTCTCTTGCCTAAGGAGAAGAGTGTCCCCAGTGGATGGTTCCTATCACAATCTCTACTAGTGAAGATTCCAGCCATGCCAAAATGAAGATTCTGATGGACAAGCCAGAGATGAATATAATTTTAAAAGATGTCAAACCAGACCAGTGGGTGAAGGTGAGTCCAGAAAGGCCATAGCCACTTTTATCTTAACTAAATTGATTTCTTTCATTTCCTGTGTGCATTTTATGGCTGGCTCTAAATTCTACTGATTCATTTTGGTCTAGGATTTGCAAAGAAAAAGACATTTCTAAACTTTCTTATGTGAAATTTAGTACTGTCTAGATTTTGCCTTTATGTCAGGTAAGGGAGTGGTCAATAAGCAATTGCAAAGCGATAGGATTAAAGAGGAAAAAAGAGTAGTCTCTGTATAAAGTCACATTAACCAAAACACTTGTAGTCTTGCAACTTCAAACTGCCCTGTCATTGTAGTGACATGTTAACTTCAGTGATATGTTGTCATCGTGGGTGTACAACTATAATCAAGTGAGATCAGACATAATAATCAGTTTGTGTCACTGAAATGGGAAGTTCCTTTTAGCTGGTGTTTTAAAGTCATTTCACAAAAATAACAGTAAATATTATTTTTCATTATTCTGTACTCTACCTTTCATAATGAAAATATCTGCTACAAAAAGAAAAGAAAATGTCTGCCACAAATAGGTTCCTGATAGGAATTATGGGCTTCCCAGGTGGCTCAGTGAGTAAAGAATACACCTGCAATGCAGGAGATGCAGGATACACAGGCTTGATCCCTGAGCCAGGAAGATCCCCTGGAGGAGGGCATGGCAATCCACTCTAGTATTCTTGCCTAGAGAATCTCATGGACAGAGGAGCCCGGCAGACTATTGTCCATTGAGTCAAAAAGAGTTGGACACAACTGAAACGACTAAACATACACACATGCAATAGAATTATATATTGTCTCAGACTTTCATGCTTGCAGAACTGTTTCTCACTCTGTTTTAAATATATTTAAAAATATTCTCGGTGGACTGCTATATTGCCATTTGAAATTATAACCTGGAGCGTATGAAATTTTTCTTATAAGAAAAAAGTACACTATGGTTATAATTAGGTAAATAAAGGTATTATTTCTATAGTAAACGATACAGGGAATCAAAACAATTACTGTATTAGAAATGTGAAGTGATTTTTAAATATATATTTATAAGTATACGTATATATTAACTTATATATAAGTATATATATACTTAAATTTATATCTGATACTGTCATTTTACCATTAAAATATTTTGTATATAAATATTATAAGAAATATTTTTGAGTGTTGGTAAACTTGAGTGAGCTTTGGTCGCTAAGTTGTGTCTGACTCTTGCTACTGTGGAATTTCCCAGGCAAGGATACTGGAGTGGGTTGCGATTTCCTCCTCCAGGGGATCTTCCTGACCCAGGGATCAAACCCTGGTCTCCTGCATCGCAGGCAATCTCCTGAATTATAAACAGACTCTTTACTGACTGAGCATAGAAAATAATGATAGTCAATGATTACCTCACTCCAAAAATCATATGAAATTGCCTTTTAAGTCTGTAATTCTTTAAAATCTAGGACCTGGCAGTTGCTATTCTGTCAAGACTCTGGGTTCAGCAGATTAATGTTTGTAAAGGTTTAGTCTTCCTTGGAGATTTTATTATCTAAGAGTTTTTATATATAGTAAATATTTTCTATAAACTGAAAACTATCCACTGAAATTAGAAACGTAACCGGATTATTTCCTCATTTTCAGCCGTGTTCTTTCCACTGTCACTCACTCTGCCTCCCACTGATGTCAGCTTTCTGTTTTGTGTTGCCTCTGTTTTTACCTTTGACAAGTGATTACTATCTTTATGTGTTATTTCATTTTATTCCCTGTCTGTTGACATAAATGAGCTTCACTGTTTTTCAGCCAGGTGTGCTAAAACTAAAACTCTTTTCATATCTACAAAAAACTGATTTAAAAAACAAATACAACTGTTTAATAATACCTGTTGGATATCTTTTCAGTTAAACCTGGGAACAGTTGGGTTTTACCGGACCCAATACAGCTCAGCCATGCTGGAAAGTTTATTACCAGGTATTCGTGACCTTTCTCTGCCCCCAGTGGATCGACTTGGATTACAGAATGACCTCTTCTCCTTGGTGAGCCTCAAATAGTATGATGGATTTTATTGATTAAATGGTTTTGTTTTTCCTGGAATGGCTGACTGGAACATAATTAGAAGAATATAGTTCTTCCTGAGAGGTGCATGCCTTTGGGACTAAAGAAAATGACTAATTATTAATTGATATGCAAGATTGAACTTATATAATTTTCCAGAAACAAATCTCACTTTCTTAAGCCAGCTTTTTGCAGCTGTACATAAACGATCATTTGTAAGGCAGAAATTCTTTTCAATAGACACAGATATGAACCTTGAAGAGACTATTGATGATTTTTTAAAAGTAATTCAGAGTGATTTATATTTGTCTAAAATAGTGGTTGTTTTTTGCTGGGAGACTCTAGAATTTTTTAAACATTCCATTACTATTCAAATTATAATAACCCATTATCATTCTAAAATGAAATTTATATTTAGCTTTGTTCAAGACAAAATTTCAAGGAGCACTTAGTAGTATTATCTTTATAACTCCAAAACATAGGTTAGATAATTTCTAGATGTCTTTGTGATAAAATTGTCAGATTCCTCCTAATGTTCCTTTAATTGGATTTGAAATTTTCATTCCCGTCTATAGTAACTGGTTTTGGATTCCTCCTTTGTATAAACACAGATTAGCACTGATGCACAAAACCTCACATCTGCTGAGCTCATTGCTGAGAGAGACCTGTCCCAGGAGAGTGGTGTGTTTGTGCAGTTGGCTGCTGTAACAGAAGTTCTTTTTCCTAACTCTGTTAGTTAATTCTGAAAGGGATGAATTTGTAGCACCGTCCAGTTTGTCTTCTTTTAGAAATGAGTAAAGGACAGGCTGAAGTTGACATAGTTTGCAGCTCCAGTTTTGAAAGTGCCTCTGTCAAAAACCAAAGCCCCAACTGTTTTTGTACCTTTTCTGACAGTATGAAAATTTTCAAAAGACCAACAATACCAAGACCCTAGAAACTGAATAGAAATAGGAAGTTAACTGTTCTCTTTCTTCTTTGTTCTTTCTAAATTGGTGACATTTTAGCATTTTAAAAAAGTAGCTGTTGTATAAATAGCAAAAAGTAAGGAATGTTGTCATAATACAGTTTTTATTTTATAAAATTCTATAGTGTTCTGAACTTATATAGTCTAGTCTCTTCCCTAAGGGATGACTAATTAGCAGAAGACAATGCCAAAAATGCATGCTTGTGCTTTTTGTTTTGTTTTTGTTTGAAGACTAATTTATGTTTTTTCCTATCCCAGGCTCGAGCTGGAATCATTAGCACTGTAGAGGTTCTAAAAGTCATGGAGGCTTTTGTGAATGAGCCCAATTATACTGTATGGAGCGACCTGAGCTGTAACCTGGGGATTCTCTCAACTCTCTTGTCCCACACAGACTTCTATGAGGAAATCCAAGAGTTTGTGAAACATGTCTTTTCACCTATAGGGGAGAGACTGGGCTGGGACCCCAAACCTGGAGAAGGTAATGAATGTACTGAATACGGAAAGAATTGATCAGAAATTAGTCCTTTTTAACTCAGCTATTTGTTGTTGTAAAGTCACTCAGTCATGTCTGACTGTGTGAACCCCGTGGACTGCAGCTCGCCAGGCTTCCCTGTCCCTCACCATCTCCTGGAGCTTGCTCAAACTCGTGTCCATAGAGCTGGTGATGCCATCCAACCATCTCATCCTTTGTTGTCCCCTTCTCCTGCCTTCAGTCTTCCCAGCATCAGGGTCTTTTCTGATGAGTCAGCTCATTAGAAAACTCAGCTATGGTTAACAGTAACATTATCTTTGTATCTACTAGACATTACTATGTATTCAGCTAACTAGAAATTAAGACTTAGGACTTTTAAGCCTCCTGGTGAATTTACATGGGTAACCAACATAAAAATGGTGGTATATGTATTTGTTGCTAAATATGATTTACACACAGAGCAAAAGGTGGAAATAAGTCTTTTACAGAGTTCCAAAGGCCCATTTTTAGTCCAGAAAAGCTAAAGGGAATTTTGGGTTATTCTGTTGTTACCATAAATACCAGACACCTTATGTACAACCTTAAAATGGTGTTGAGAGACACAGGGGCAAGTTTTCTGAATTAAAGGAGTTATTTGCTTTCTATATGTGTTCTTTTTATTTTTGTAATCATGTATGTATGCTTTTGCTGTCATGTAAATGTTAGGAATAGTGAGTATAGGCTTTAGATATATTTTCTACCATATATTTCTACCATAATAACTGAAGGTTGTAGTTCCTCCTGCCCTTCTTGTTGTGGGAGTCTTTTGCAGTAAGAATAATAGTAAAAATTGTCTAGAGCTCTATATCTTTCTTTCACTGATTTAGCAAGCACTTATGCACCCAGTAATACCAGGTACTATACTAGGAGCTGGTGGTATAACAGTGAACAAAAAGTTGCCCTGTGTGGCTTACATTCTAGGGGAAGACACAGCAAACAATTCAATAGATAATATTTTAGGTGACAGCAAGTATCATGAAGAAAAAGTTTAGGTAAGGTAGGTCAGGAGTAGGAGTAATAAGCCACTGTTTGATAGAATAGAGAGTGGACGGGAAAATGCAGGAAAACCAGTGAGGTGATATTTAAGCATAAGCCGAGACCTGTAGAAGAGAGCTGTGAGGCTATGTAGTGGGGAAATGGTCCAAACAGAAAACAGCAAGTACAAGAGACCTGAGATAGAGGCATGCTTAGGTGCTCAGAGAGTAACATGGAGGCTAGTGAGTCAGGGCAGAGTGAGTGTGGGAGAGAGGAGGGTGGGAACAGAGCAGCTCCAATAGGACCTTATGGGACTTTCATATTTGGTGGTATCAAAAACTCACTTGGAGTCTGAAGCAGAGGAACATGACTTGATTTACGCAGCCATGTGAAGAATAGCCTGTAGCGGGGGAGGCAAAAGAGGAAGCAGGGAGACAAGTTAGAAAGCTGTTTGAGTAATGCATCTGGGTGCTGCCCGCGACTAGCATTTGCAAGTAGTAAATTCTGGATATGTTTTGAGGGTGGAACTAAAAATACTTGGTGGTGGCCTGACTGTGTGGTGGAGAAAGAGGGGAGTCATCAAATTTTGGCCTGAAGAATTAAAAGAGTGAAGTTACCGTATACAGAGACAGGGAACACTGCTGTAGAAGCAGGTTTGGGTGCAATAGGGAATCAGGAGTTTTGTTTTGGACATGTTAAATCTGAGGTTCTTTTAGACATCCAAGTAGAGAGTACCATGCCTAGAGGTGCAGACTGAGTAATACATTTAGTGCGTAGATGGTATGTACAGCCATAAGATTGGATGAGATCACCTATGGCTTGAGTGTAGGTGGAGAAAAGAGGTGTGAGGACTGGGTCCTTGGGCAGTTCAGGATTCAAAGACTGGTTTGAAGAGGGGGAATCAGCAAAGGAGACTGACTGGCCAGTGATGTAGGAGAGTTAGGAGGAAGAGGAATGTCCCAGAAGCCTTAAGCAGTAGAGGGGGAAAAGTGATCAGCTGTGCCAATACTGTACCAAGTCAGGCAGAATGATGATGAAGAACTGATGGTGACATTAACTGGGTTTTATGGCATGGGGGAATCCACCAGGACTTCCTCAGGTGGTAAAACGTGTGCCTACAATGCAGGAGACCCGGGTTTGATAAAGAAAATCAGATAAGAGAGATTGGGAGAGAGATGTGTGACCAAGGAGGCACTTTTTTATGGTGGGAAATTTTATAATACGTCTTTGTTGATGAAAATGATACTGTAAAGAAAAATTCATGATGTGAAAGAGAGAGGTAGCTGCTGGGTGTGTTGGCTGAATATTTGAGAGGAGTTGGCTTTAGGTTGTAAAACAGCAGATCCATAAGAACAAGACAGGAAGTAGATGGACACAGATGGAGGTAAATTGATGGGTGTTGCACTTTTCTTTCATGATGATAATATGTGAGACTTCGAGGGCTCAAAAACACCTTTTTGAAATAGGGAGAATGTCTTTAGTTTCCCAGTTTTACAGATGGAAGAATCAGATATAGCAAAACAATTAAGATATTACTGCATCAACACAGCAAATCAGCACCAGAATTATAAATTGGTTCTTTTAAGAACCTTCACTAGTCTTTAGTTGTGTTGTCTGTTGATTTCTTATGGTTTCCTTAAACTTTTTAAGGAGTTATACAGCCAAACGCGTACGTTCAGTTCAGTGACTGGACAAATGCATACCACATTTCCATCACCACAGGAAGTTGCCCTGAGGCTACTTCCCAGTCAGTTCCTGCCACCCCCCTACCCTTCCACCTTCTGCAGGCAAACGCCATTCTGACTTCTTTCACCCTAGATTAATAGAGTCTTTTCTAGAACTTTATATAAGTGGGATCATAATATATATTCTGTTCTTTTATCTGACTTCTCTCAGTATAATGTTCTAGAGATACATCTAGGTTGTTCATTCCTTTTTATTGCTGAGTACTATTTCATTGTATGAATATATCACAATTTATTTGTCTGTTGTGCTGTTGGAATCAGTTTGTGTGCTAGTATTAACTTTTTTTTGAGATATAATCAATATACCAAAAAATGTACCCTTTTTAATATACAGTTCAGTCTTTTCTCACAGTGTTGTACAACTACCACCACCACCACCATCTTAATTCCAGAAAAATTTCTTTACCCTCAAAAGAAGCTCCATACCTGTTGGCAGTTACTCTCTATTCCCTGACAACCCAGTCCCAGGCAACCACCAATCTGCTTAGTGCCTCACAGATCTGCCTGTTCTGACATTTCATATAAATGGAATCATACTCTATGTGGCATTTTTTATTTGGCTTCTTTCACATACTACAGTATTTTCAAGGTTCAACGTGTTGCAGCATGTATCAGTACTTCCTTTTTATAGTCAAATAATATTTCATTGTATTGCATGGTTATACTACATTTTCTTTGTTCGTTCATCAGTGTATATATGCTGGGATTGTTTCTACTTTTTGACTGTTATGAATTCATTTCTCCAGAGTGGAACTGCTCGGTCATACTCTGTGTTTATTAACCTTTTGAGGAATTACTGGACTTTTTTTCAAAGTGCCCACACCATTTTACATTCCTACCAGCAGTATATGAGGGTTCTAATTTCTCTCCATCCTTGCCAACCCTCAAAAGAAACTCCATATCCGTTGGCAGTTACATTTGTTATTGTGTAATACAACATTTATTACTGTCTTTTTTATTTTAACCATTCTAATTGGTATGAAGTGGCATCTCATTGTGGTCTTGATTTGCATTTCTGTAATGGCTAATGGGTATTGGTTCCATGTACTTACCAGCCACCTGCATATCTTTGGAATAATCCATCAGATTTTGATTTTAAAAATCTGAGATTTCAATTTAATATCCTTGGCATACTAGTTCTGTATGTGACCTTTCTCTAAATTTTGGGTCAAAACTGTATGATCTAAGTGTATTCCTTTCACACATAATTCTTATTGGTATAATTACATAGATAGAATATTTAATAAATATTTAAGTAGATTCAGCTGGCATTTAGTAAATATTTAATAAATACAGTCGGCATTGTAAGAAACACAGTTGACACAGAGTCAGCATTTGCGTATCTTAGTGTTACGTCCTTCATTCTTATTACTTGATAAATTTAAATCACGTGTTCTCTCAAGTACTAAGGTAACTGATTTTGTTTGTTCAAGATCATAGGTGTGGTATAACACAATTATACAATATGCAGGTGGCATATTTGTAAAAAATAAGCTTTTTAAGTAGTTCTTTATCTCTTTTACTTCTCAATCAGGTCATCTAGATGCACTCCTAAGGGGCTTGGTCCTGGGCAAACTAGGAAAAGCAGGACATAAGGCAACATTAGAAGAAGCCCGTCGTCGGTTTAAGGACCATGTGGAAGGGAAACAGATTCTCTCTGCTGATCTGAGGAGTCCGGTAGGTTTTCATAATAAAGTACTTTGATTTCTAGGTGTCTGCATCATTCCGTGTAGTGTGGAATGTATTTAATAATAACCAAAAATGACCTAAAGAGTCGGCTTGCAGTGCAGGAGACCTGGGTTTGATCCCCAAGTTGGGAAGATCCCCTGGAGAAGGGAATAGCAACCCACTCCAGTATTCTTGCCTGGGAAATCCCATGGACAGAGGAGCCTGGCGGGCTACAGTCCATGGGGTTGAAAAGAGTCAGACACTACTCAGTGATTAAACAACAACAAAAATGACCTAAGTATTGACCTACAAATCATGCCTAATTATTTTAATACACACCATTTAGGGAGTCTGTAGGCAACATCTCATTTGTGTAGAGTTTCTCAGTCCACACTAGGGTACTAGAGGGTGATTGATTATCAGTGCACAGTCTCCTGCGCTCTGCTATTACTACCTGCCATCTACCTTTCTGGTTGTTCAAGTGGGCTCTTAGATTGTTGCCATAATTTGTATGTAATATCCACATAATTTTTTTTACTTGCTTTCTGTCTTAACATTAGAATATTTGGAATAAGTTACATATAATCAGATCCCTTCTTTTTTGTTCCTGTATTCTCTTGTAGGTCTATCTGACTGTTTTGAAGCATGGTGATGGCACTACCTTAGACATTATGCTGAAGGTGAGTAAATTTGGAAAGGGCTCCTATTTTCTGCTTTTGAAGTTGAATTGACACAGAGATTATGAGCTTGAATGGTTAAAAAAAAAAGTCCTAACAAAAGAAATATATGCTGATAATGCATACTGTAGGCATGCAAATATTTAGGAAGCTATAGGAGAAATATCTGCTCATCTGTACTACCAATACAAATGCCAAGTCATCTCATTTATTCACTTTTATAAATCACAAGTTTATGTACTTAAATCTTAATACTAAAATGTTAAGTTTGATTAAAAAGTCCAGTTCTTAAAAGTTTTCCCATTAATGCAAACTTACTCAGGATTCTGCCCATTTTATTTCTGTGCTTAGGAAAGGGATAGATGATTAGGTGCCTCAAGGATTTAGTCTATGCTGGTACCTCTTATGAGTGGACAGGAAATTAATTCACTTGCCTTCATAGCCTCAGTAGTTTCCCAGGGTGGTTAGCATATAATTAAACTCTGACTTAGAAAAAATATAGATAAAACTTTCCATGTTCTTATAGTGGCAGTGATCTGTTTGATAGTCCTAATACTGTAGAACAAGTGCTGTCTCCAGTCCTTATCCATGTAGTTATTGGTCTAACCTGGTTGCATTAGAGGTGGAGGGAGCTGATTTTACTTATCAAATAAAATGTGCAATATGTGCCTAAATACCCAAATCATCCATCAGACCCATTCATTAAAAGATCCACACTTAGGGATCTTAATCAGTATACTTTTCTGATCCCAAGTGCATCAGAATTACAAATCTAACCTCTGGTATTTTAGTTTTAAACAAATCCTATTTAAATGATTAGAATGTTTTAAAAATACACAAACTTTAAGAAACTACATTGCAACTGTATTGCTTTAACTGCCTATCTTATATAAGGGTTTCCCTTTTAACAACATAAAACATTATACTTCAGGTTTACCTTTCAACTAAATGACATTAAGGTCTCTTCTCACTCTAATTCTGTGAACCTGTGCACTATAAATCATGCATTTCTTTGCATGTGAAATGAGATAGTTGGTATATTTTGTCTATTCCATAAAGATATGGGGAAAATAAGGGTTCTGAAAATTTCGTGACAGGTCCTTTGACATTTTCATGTCATGGCATACGTTAAAGAATTTATACCAGTGTGTTTAATAAGTGTTTGCATCTGTTTAACACAAGGGAGCCCACAGTGGTTCAACTTTACTATGCAAAGAGCTCTAATGAAGGCAAAATCAGGGTTCTTCAAGAAACCAGTTAGGGGCGATTGGGGAGGGATGGACTGGGAGTTTGGGATTAGCAGGTACAAAGTATTGTTATATATGTATAACTGAATCACTTGCTGTACACTGAAAACTACCACCACATTGTAAATCAGCTATACCTAAATAATATTAAAGGGAACGACGCCAGTTGCTGAGAGAGGAGGTGGATTTTGTGTTAGTGTTTTATGAATAATGAAGCAGGATAAATAACTAATTCAGAGTATATTTGAAATGTAGTGTTATGGTGCCATCTAGTGGACTCCTGTGACAGGTCCTCTTGGGGGTGGGGTGGGGAATGCTTCCTAAATGCCGGCGTTCAGACCTTGAATATTAGAGCTGAAAAGGACCTTAGAAATCATCTGTCCACCCCGCTCATTTTACAGATGGGGAAACTGAGACCCGGAGAGGTTAAGGACTTAGTCAAGATCACACAGCTAGTTAGAGGCAAAACTGGGTCTAGAACCCAGGTCTTCTGACCTCCTATCTATTTTACTACACTGCTGCTCAAAAGAGTCCAAAGGAAAGGAAGAGGAAACTGGGAGCTGTGATGGGGTCTCCAGACACTGGTCAGTGTTAACTCTTCAGAGGGGAAAAAAAAAAAGGTCAAGAGAGTCTATAAATTAAGTTGTCTTAGAGAAGTATCTCATATACATTTGAAGTTCTAATTTAAAAAAAAAAACATAGTATTTTGTTTCTAATTATGAAAAGAGGTTTTGGTATACTCACTATGGAAGATTTAGAGGCTAGAAAAGTATAAAGAAGAAAATAGAACTTACTTGTAATTTTAAAAAGATCACAAATATAGCATGTATAATATGATCTTACTCATGATTTGGTTAATGTAAATATAGTAATTTTTTCTTTATGCTTTTCTATTTTCTTAATGTTCTGCATTCATAATACTTGGCAGTTAAAAATGTGATGCTGCATAATCCTACTGATCAGAGACCATTATTAATGTTAACGTTTTGATGTGTTTTCAGGGTTTTTTCTCCCCTTCTCATTAAATTTTTAAAAATTTAGAACCATTTTGCTTTGTATCCCTTCTTTCAATTACTATATCAGTGGCATGTTTATGTCGTCAAATATTCTTAAAATATTACTTTCAATAATGCTTCCTGTATTTTCTACTGATAGTTGAATTGATCTTTCAGTGGTATTAGTAATGATGCTTATTTTGCCTATCTAACATAGAACATTAGCCAGACATCAATGAATAAAGAATTTGGTCATGACGGGCTCACCCCTTAGATCTTGAGGTTGAACTGCTCAGAACTGATGACAAGCTATTCATGTAGTGAGCACTTAGACCTAATGATTTACTGTAGGGGCACAGGACAAACTTAGTGCTCAAACCTCTTGAAAAATATTCTTTTGTTAATTTCATATCCTGCAATCCTAGCCAATGAGATTGTAAAGCAAAAGTTTCACCTTATTCAGGGAGAAGTTAATTGTCTCTTTCTGTATTTTTTTCACTATAGCTTCACAAACAAGCAGATATGCAGGAAGAGAAAAACCGAATTGAAAGAGTCCTTGGGGCTACTCTTTCACCTGAATTGATTCAAAAAGTCCTCACGTTTGCACTTTCAGTAAGTTACAGTGAAAACTGCTTTTAGAGGGAATTATTACCCACTGATCTATAGCAGGTGTCCTTGATTCAGTACTCTCTTGATCTGTCTTAATCCCAGACTAAAGGCTTCCTCTTTCTTGAAAAACTGGAGTAAGCTTTTGTTGGTAACCACTGTATTTCCCTCTAGTGGTAAGAATCAGAATAGCTGGGAGAGGAAATAAACTGGCAGGCTGACGCACCCCTGTGCCCACTTTTGTCTCTCTTTCCTTCCCCTGGAGCAGGCGTCTATTAAGCAGCCATCTGTTGTACCATCTCGGTGCTTCACTCTCAATTTGGCTGATCTGTAGGTTAAACATTCTCCTCTTTGCTAGAAGCTTCTGGTGCCAGTTATTCCTAAAACAAGAAGGGGATTACTTGGGTACCTCAACAGCATTTGCCCTTTCTGGCATCAGACAATATTCTGGATACGGTAGACTTGCAGTTCTCTTTTTTTTAGGAAGAGGTACGTCCACAGGACACTGTGTCAGTAATTGGTGGAGTGGCTGGAGGCAGTAAGCATGGAAGGAAGGCTGCCTGGAAATTCATAAAGGACAACTGGGAAGAACTTTATAATCGATACCAGGGAGGATTCTTAATATCTAGACTAATAAAGGTGCGTGAAAATGTTTGAGTAGCTTGCTTATCATGGATATTATTGAGAGACATCCATGATTCACTCAACCTGTAGATTATTGTCTTTGCTTTTTAAAAGTTTCCTTAAGTAGTTACTAGATTTACTAAAGAGTTTCTCCATTAACCCATCCTGTACCCTCTAGAATAAACTGAAGTTGGGAAAGAGTGGAATGATTTGTTTTTATGGTAGATGGAAGTTAGTTCCTCACTTCTTGGTTGCACTTACTGTTTACAAACCATTGTTTTTCAGCTCTCCGTTGAGGGGTTTGCAGTTGATAAGATGGCTGCAGAAGTTAAGGTAAGGAAGTACAGTCTGCGCTCACTTTTCACCAAGAAATGGAACACACATCAAACCATGATCACAGATTGTCGGGGTGGTGTTGTACTTGAGTAGTGCCTCCGTGTTTTTCTTGGAGACAGGTTAGGTTGTATCCTTAAAGCCTGAGGAATTTAGACTTGGAATCATCTTTGAGGGCATTAAAGTGGTTGAAAGAATGTGGAATTTAGAGTCAGTCAACCTGGATGTAAATCTGTGCTCTGCCCCTTGTTAGCTGTGTGACTTCAAGCAGGCTTTTTAACCTCTATGAGCCCATCTCCTCTTCCATAAAATGAGGTGATAAGATTGTCTAGATTAAGTAATATAGGGGGCCTGGAACATAGTAGATCTTTCATATTAGTTCTTTTTCCCTTCTAATACTCTTCATAGGTCTTTTATGTGCACAGAGAGACAAGATGACTATGTAGGGACTCTATTCCTAGCCCTTTTAAGCATCACTTCCACCTTCATTCTTGAAAGCAAGAGGGCTTCAGGGGTGAATTTGGAAATTCCAAGAGCTATAATGTTTGGTTCACATTATGAGTTAATTTACTCAGTCACAGGTTAGTACATAATGGAGAGTCTAAATCAAGATTCAATATAATAATGTATTGTATTATGTAAATAATTACTTAATTGTAAAAGTAATAAATACTCCTGAAGGAGAGATACGTATAATTAGTTCAAGAGGAGGCCAGTGACCAGGCTAAGGCTAGTAGAGGCCTGACCGAAGAGGGCCTTGTAGGCCACATGAAAATGCTCCTAAGAATGGGAAGCCCTTGAAATGGCTTATAAACAAAGGGGTGACTTAATCTGGTTTATGATAAGGATTTCAATCTGGCTGCAGTGTAGAGAATGCAGTTTGGAAAGGGGAGATATTGGGAAGCCACCCCACCAAGCAAAAATGATACAGTAGCTTGGAGGAGATGGAGTAATGAAAGAGTTTCAGTTCAGTTCTGTTGCTCAGTCGTGTCCGACTCTTTGCGACCCCTTGGACTGCAGCTCGCCAGGCCTCCCTGTCCATCACCAACTCCCAGAGCTTCCTCAAACTCATGTCCATCGAGTTGGTGATGCCATCCAACCATCTCACCCTCTGTCGTCCGCTTCTCCTTCCTTCAATCTTTCCCAGCATCAGGGTCTTTTCAGATGAGTCATTTCTTTGCATCAGGTGGTCAAAGTATTGGATTTTCAGCTTCCAATGAATATTCAGGACTGATTTCCTTTAGGATGGACTGGTTGGATCTCCTTGCAGTCCAAGGGATTCTGAAGAGTCTTCTCCGACAGCACAGTTCAAAAGCATCAATTCTTCGGCGCTCAGCTTTCTTTATGGTCCAACTCTCACATCCATACATGACTACTGGAAAAACCATAGCTTGACCAAATGGACCTTTGTTGGCAAAGTAACGTCTATGCTTTTTAATATGCTGTCTAGGTGGGTCATAACTTACCTTCCAAGGAGCAAGCATCTTTTAATTTCATGGCTGCAATGATTTTGGAGCCCCCCAAAATAGTCTGTCACTATTTCCATTGTTTCCCAGTCTATTTGCCGTGAAGTGATGGGACTGGATGCCTTGATCTTAGTTTTCTAAATGTTGAGTTTTAAGCCAACTTTTTCACCCTCCTCTTTGACTTTCATCAAGAGGCTCGTCAGTTCTTTGCTTTCTACCATAAGGGTGGTGTCATCTGCACATCTGAGGTTATTGATATTTCTCCCAGCAATCTTGATTCCAGGGCTTGATTTTGTTAATCTTTAATACAGCCAGTATTTATTGAATGTTTTGTCTGTATTGTGAACATATCTGGGGGAGGAAGAAGGAAGTAGTCCAGGATAATTTCCAGGTTTCTCATGAGTAAGCAGTGGTATTATTTGTTGAGGTAGAATGAGAGGAACTCTTGTATCTTACTCAGGCCCTAAGAACCCAACTGTGATAGAACAGGAGCCATTGGCATCCATGTCAATAAAGTTATGATTTCTAAGAGGTTTAGACTTAATCTGATGAATTAGTCATTCTCTCTTATATACCTGTGATGACTAGTTCAAAGGAAAGACCCCTCCGCCCCACGTCCCCATCCTTTTGCTGGTTGGTATTTTCTATGAAACCAGGTGTATTTCATTAGAAAATGGTTTATTCAACCTTTAATCAATAAGCATTGCAATAATTACAATGAACTCTGAAGTAGTTTATTGTATAAAAATGTCTATAAAATTTTAAATTATTAGAATATGGCAGCAATTTAAGCTTCTTAGTTTTATTATCCCTTACAAATTAATCTTTATTGGAAGTAGCCAAAATGTGTTGAGTCTTTAACTACTCTGTGCCAAGTATTATATTTTCTCATAGATGATAAAACAGAGCAGTTAATTTACTCAGTCACACTTTAGTACATGATGGAGCCTAGATCAAGTCCCAAGGCTGATTTCAAAGTCTAGAATTCAAGTAGGTTTTTTTAACCCCTGTGAGCCAGTCGCATCTGTAAATTGGGTGAGAAGATTGTTACTTAGATGAAGTAACACAGGGGGCCTGGTCCTTGATAATAGTTCTTTTTACTTTCTTTTGCTGATTGGACAATGAACCTTAAAGAATATAGGTTCTTTCTCTTTGATTAGGTTTTTAGCATATAATACATTAGGGGAAGAATTCCTATAGGTCTAAGGTGCAGCTTGTTTTCTTTTAGCCTGGCAGTGGTAAATTTTCATGAGTGAAGCTTATGAATCCATAGACAGTGGATATTTTTTCTTTTTCATGACCTGTGATATTAGCTTCTTACTATTGCTAGTAACTATCTTACATTCTGGATTGTCTTATGCCAGGCTTTCTTCGAGAGTCACCCAGCTCCTTCAGCGGAGCGTACCATCCAGCAGTGTTGTGAAAATATCCTGCTGAATGCTGCTTGGCTAAAGCGTGATGCTGAGAGCATCCACCAGTACCTCCTTCAGCGAAAGGCCTCACCACCCACAGCATGAACCTGGAGCACACCACCACTGCGGTTCTACTGCTTCGTGCAGGCATAAGGTGGAGCGACTGAACAGCTGATTCACATGCCAAGAATTTGGAGTCTTCTTTCAAGCCAGTGGGGGTTGGACAATGAATGTAGTTAACTGGTTCCTGCTCACACTCCAGAATTAAATTCTATTGAAAAAGGAAAATCAGCAATTCAGCAAAAAAATAAAAATGTAAATATGATAGTAATAAAATAGAGCATAACGAAACTGTGAAACTTCCTGAAGCCTTGTCAGTGGTTAAAAGTATTTAACACTCTCCTGTTAATGACAGATGTTCTGTTTTTATAACGTACCAAAAGGAAACTAGAGGCTTCTGTAAAGAGGATTTTTGTGAAGTGGGTTCTATAAGCAGCCTACAAGCCAAGTGTCCATTGCTGGGAATGGTTAAACATTAAAGGCTGATAGCTGGTATAACATAGAGTCTGTGCATAATCTCAAGTGAGGTTTTTTGTTTTTTGTTTATTTGGCATGGGGACTGATCAGGAAGATATATTTTCCTGCATAACTCAATCTGAACCAAGGATTGTAGTTTTCCTCCTTGCCTTCCCTTCTGTGTGACCCCTTGGCAAGAAAAAAAAAAAAAAGTTAAAAAAAGACAAACCTATCCTGGTCTGGGTTTTTTCCTTCCCGTAGTTCCATCCCAGCCCACCACCCCGGTGTCCTTCTTAGAGATCAATAATAAGGAAACATCTTTTATAGCCACATTAAATAAGAGAAACTGATATACATTATTTTTTCTTTCTTTTTTAAGATGACTTTTAAGAATCCTGAAATGCATATAGGTGAGACAACAGAAATGAACAGTTTTCAGCCAGGCCTTTCTGAAAGAGTTATTCTGCTGAAAATGGTCTGACAGGCCAACTTTCTGGCCCTCTTTCTGACAGTATCAGCACTGGCTTCTCCTGGTTCAGTTCGGGCCTGTAAGAAGTCAGTGGTTGCTGATGCAGGGCCCATGTATTAGTGGTAACTGGTTTTAAAAAAAAAAAAAAAAACAGACTGTAAGCCTGTGTGTGCCACTCTGCTTCCACAGTATCCTACTAACAAGCCTCACCAACCTAATCCAGTGAGTTTTAACTCTAAATCTCATTCCTTTCCTCTTTCCCTATGTTTTTTCTTTTCTTTTTCTTTTAAAAAAATATTTTTGTGTGTTATTAACAGGAATTCATATTTGGTGTGGCTTAACTGTATTTCAGAAGGTCATCAGATTGTGAGACTGCTTCCTTGAAACATTTTTGTGCTATTGTTTTAAAAAAATAATAATTAAAAAACAGTTGGCGTTAATAAAAATGTCAATGTGAAATTGATGTCCTGATGTCCTTTATTCTCTTTGGTAAGCAACTAAAACCTTTTCTGTCATTCAGTAGGATTATAAGAAGTTTTACTACCGTAGGGGTTTTTTGAGTTTAAGAAAATCCAGTTGCTGAATTTCTAATGAATAGTACCTAGCCAGAAAAACCTTAAGATTCCTCCTAAATTACTTCTGGATTAACTCAGAAACCTCTTACAGCTCCATAGAGTCAGCATTCAGGAGTTAACCTTAGCCTGCCAGTTCCTATGTACTGAGGCTTCTATCTAGGCATGTGCTTATGGCACCAGCAAAGTAAAGACTCCAAACAGACTGAAAGAAATTGTTTTAATGAAAGAACTCACAATCAAATGCTGGAAAGAAGGTGTCTCAGTTTTAGCACACATGCAAGTTGTGTGTATATAACGGTTCAGTGGTTTGAATCATGTTGGGGAGGAGATGGTGCTGGCTGCATTCCTCTTCAGAACTGCTTCTCATCCTATTTTGTGTCCCAGGTCTTGACCCCCGTGGACTGCATCAACAGGTTTCTTTGCCCTCTGACTTCAGGTTGTGTTGATCCAATTAGTAACACCCTCAGAAGATCAAAAGGCTGAGGAATAGATATTTAGAAGCCTGGGTATTTATTTCCCTGGCTTTTAAGTCACCAGGTCACATAGGTTGTCTGTGTTCCTCTACCAAAGACTGTGACTCCTAACAAGCAGCCTTCTTTAGCTCCAGCTCCTTCTCTCTGCCCCTTATTTCTAGGGATAGAAAGGGCCACTCATTTACTGGCTCCTGAACTCTGCCCATGTCTTTGTGAACAGTCCCTTTATTAAACCTTCCTCAAATTACCCAGTTTGAGTGTATTCTCTGTTTTCCACTAATATCTTGATTGATTTGGGCACCATAGTCTTGATGCTTTGGGTCTCTAAAGGTCTTAATCCAGCCTTTTCCATGTCAGATACTTTGTTTTATGTGGCTGCACCATGAGGCTTGTGGAATCTTAGTTCCCCAACCAGGGATAGAACCAATGCCCTCGGCAGTGAAAGCATGGAGTCCTAACCACTGGACTGCAAAGGAATTCCCTGTCAGACGTTTTAGTTTATTGTTTGTCTTCCAAATAGCTCCCTATCCTAGGTAATATACAGATCCTAGGTAATTTTACAGATGAGAAAGCAGGCTCAGAAAAATTAGGTAAACAGCAAATAACTCTCAGTCCTATTGGTCAACTCAAGCTTGCCAGTCTACACAAACCTGTGTTCTTCCAGCTGAAATTTGTTAGGTTTCCACAATTAGAAGATCATGCAGTCACAATGGATACAAGCAATAGCTTTAAAGATACTTAATGATTCTCCTTTTCCCTAATTTTTGTGAAAGTTGCTCAGTCATGTCTGACTCTTTGCAACCCCATGGACTGTAGTCCATGGAATTCTCAAGGCCAGAATATTGGAGTGGGTAGCCTTTCCCTTCTCCAGGGGATCTTCCCAACCCAGGGATTGAACCAGGTCTCTGGCATTGCAGGTGGAGTTTTTACCAGCTGAGCCACAAGGGAAGCCCAAGAATACAGGAGTGGGTAGCCTATCCCTTCTCCAGCAGATCTTCCTGATCCAGGATTCAAACTGGGGTCTCCTGCATTGCAGGCAGATTCTTTACCAATGGAGATATCAGGGAAACCCCTTTTCCATAATATCCCTTGGTTAAAATTTTTAGGAGAAATGAGAAGGTTGGGAAGAAAGACAAATGTGTTAGTTTCTTATAGAGAATGTTATATTCATGGGAAGCACTAGAGGCTTTTGGGACAGTGGGCAGCGGTGAATGAATTCTTATCTGGCATTTTCTAAGGATGAGTTTCAGGAAGTAAGGAACCCTTTATAAAGAATGTATCTCTTGTGGTGTGCAATTTGGGGAGTATGAGGGATTTTATAGCTTTAAATCAAGTCTTTCAACTCTGTTATCCAAATGAATCCTGGACTTGGAGCCATATTTGTAGGACTAGTGATTTTTTTCTCAGCAAGAAAATAAAAAGCTTTTGGTAATATAATGTTGACTCTATATTTACAGTATCATATTTGACTGAATAATAAATCAGCTAATGAGAATTTAATCTACTGTTACTAGATACTAGTTCTAGGATCTCGGAGTTGTTTTTAATAGGACTCTGTCTTCTGTGGGCTTATACCAGGTGGCTCAGTGGTAAAGAATCCACCTGCCAATGCAGGAGACTCGAGTTTGATTCAGGAAGTTCCCCTAGAGAAGGAACAGGCCACCCACTCCAGTATTCTTGCCGGGGAAATCCCATGGACATAGGAGCCTGGTGGGTTACAGTCCATGGAGTAGGGTAGCAAAGAGTGCATGACTTAGCATGCATCTTTCGTGGTAATGCAAAATACCCACCCCAAATTGGCCTGCCTTCTTAGAACAATCCTAGTACAAGCGAAGTGGTCAAGGTGTTTGGTTTTAAATTCTAGAGTGAGACGGGACCCTGATATTAATGAAACATGTGGGCCAAATAACTGCTTTCCCTAGGAAACCAAGTCAGAGGATTGGTTCTTCTAACGGTTTGATGGTTAACTTTGTGATAAATGGTAGTGTCAGGAAGGAAAGTTGATTGGGTTGTTACTGCCACTTGTAGATAACTCTTGTTCAGTCACTAAGTCGTGTCTGACTCTTTTTGACCCCATTGACCGCAGCACGCCAGGGTACCCTGTCCTTTGCCATCCCCTGGAATTCACTCGAAGTCATGTCATTGAGTCGGTGATGCCATCCAACCATCTCATTCTCTGTCACCCCTTTATCCTGCCCTCAGTCTTTCCCAGCATCAGGGTCTTTTCCAATGAGTTGGCTCTTCACATCAGGTGGCCAAAGAGAACTCTGCTGCTCTGATTTCGTTGCTGCTATCTGGCAACTGTAGCTTTCACTCCTGAGCTCCTGGCCCAATGCTGGGGTGGAATTAGCAACAGAAAAGGAACATAGCTTACCATCTGTCATAACTTGTGCTTTCTCAGGAAGCTGCCACCAGCTGACAGCAGATATGCTATACACCAATTAAAATGAAAACCAAGGAGGGAAAAACAGTCTGGCCATAGTTTGGCTGATCACACCAATATGGTCCTCTGTGACATCCATCTCCTCTCACCTCCAAACAACCTTAACCTTTATCATAAATTTGACAAATTGTACAAGTATACATTACACTGCAGTCTTAACCCATTCTGATTCATTAAGGTGTTGATTACCTTGTATTATGTATACTAACCTTATGGATATACTCTTCTTCATGCTTTTTAGACTTTTAAAGAAATTAAGAAGAAAACAGTACACTGAATGGCTGATGATTTAATAGGAGAAATCTCAAGACAACACAGGATACAAGATAGTGGAGGAGAGGTGGAGAGAAACAGTTTTTAAGAAAAACAAAACATTTAAAATATTTGACATGAATGAGGATGGGTGAGATGATTACTGCTTTTCTAATAGGTCAGTGGCCTCTTCTATCAATGGAGAATTTAAAGTCGGGAGAATGTGAAGGGTATAGAAGGATGAAGTTAATGCTGTGGCCTTTACAAGTGTAAAGAAGTGCTTCCTCTCATGTCATCCTTGAGACAGACTCCATCTCCACTGGATAGACAGCAGGTCTCACAGAAGATCTCTTGGCTACCAAAACTGGCCCTTCCCTGCCTCTGCTGACACTCTGCTCCCTATAAATGGAAAATTCTAGACCTGTGTGTCCAAATACAGTAGCCACCAGCCATATGGAGCTATTTAAATTTCCCATATGCAGCTATTTAATTTTAAAGTAAGTTCCAGCATTTGGTGCTGTTGTCTCACGGGCGTCGCCAGCGCTGTCACAGTGGTGAAGCTGAGCAAAGAGGCCAAGCAGAGGCTGCAGCAGCTTTTCAAGGGAGGACGATTTGCCATCCGCTGGGGTTTTATTCCTCTCGTGATTTACCTGGGATTCAAGAGGGGTGCGGATCCTGCAATGCCTGAACCAACTGTTTTGAGCTTACTTTGGGGATAAAGGACTGTGGTCATCTGGTTTTGGAAGCAGTCAATGCAGAGGAACAATATGGAAGGTGTCTCTCTGGCTGGGATAAGAGATGGGACGTCGTTCAGACGGTCACCAACTGGATGGCACGGGGCTCTTCTCAGGTGCTTCGGTGGCAGAGTGGAACCTCCACTGACTTAGTTATGATAGACTGTATTAAAATAAATGTTTTTAGCAATGTTAAAAAAAATAAAGTTAAGTTCCACATTCAAGTGCTCAGTAGCCACCATGGCTAGTGGCTGCCATATTGGGCAGTATGGATAT